AGTCACTTGTGAATTGAACTAAATGGAGGTTCATCTGATCAATGAGTATCGAGGAAATTATGTTCATCTACCCCAGCGTTCTATAATACACTTATGACATATGATACATGTTTTCCGACCTTGAAGTCATTAAAAAGAATTATGCATTTTCTGCAGTCACTTGTGAATTGAACTAAATGAAGGTTCATCTGATTAATGAGTATCGAGGAAATTATGTTCATCTATAAATTAGACGCAGCTTCATGTTTTTCAAGACATCTTTCCGGAATATGCGTCAGTGAAGGCGTTCAGATAATGACGTTATTGCAGTTTTATTCATGAGATTCCTGTCAACAGTAAAGTCGAATAATAGATCGATTAAATTAAATTTGGGCCTATAGTACAATTACAGTTTGATTACTTGCACGTGGTGCTAGTAACATATTAAGTTTCTATTGGCATTGAATGCATATTTCAGATAAAAGCTAATGGTATTATTGTCACAACATCTATATTGTTTGATGTTAAAAGATTTGGCCCTGTGTGTTCATACATTACAATTTTTGACAGACTTGGCAAATAATTAATAAATGATATTGATAGCATCTTAATGACTTGGCCATACAGTCATGACAATTTAAGGAGTGAAAGGTGAGCGATAGGTCTTGTGGGAATTCAAAGATTCATTAAGACTGTAGCCGTCTAAGCGTAACTCCTGTGTGTAATATTTGTAAATATTCTATCCACTGAAAACATGCTTCTACTATTAATATTACATGTATTTTCATGGATTCATCATATTTTATCTATAGCTGTGCTATAGTTTCTAATTAAAATGTCTTTTCTGTTGTCGGAATTGAAGTAAGTCCCACACAGAGCTGGGATCATATGTCTTTGAAATATATATGCAAACGTCTGGAACCTTGTGTTCCAATACAAGCGTTCGTAGCGCTACGACATTCGCATGCCTATGATAAACTATAGAGTTGGTCTCAACCATTGACTGGATTACATTCTCATGGTCAGCAGAGAAATTTCGACTTCTCTTTTTCCTTGGGTGCAGGCGACATTTCGCGATTCCATTTTTGGTAATCCGGAAGTAAACAGAAAAAGGATTGTGGGATATATGGAAGCTAACCAGTGACGTTAACCACACTATTAAACTTTGACGGCGACGTTAGCTAACGGCATGACTAACCATGTTTTGAACAACGCATATTTAACGTTCGGTTACCTAACGGCCGGTTAAGGATTTAACCGGCCGTTAGGAGTTAACCGGCGGTTAAGATAACCGAGTATTGAACAACCGGGCCCTGGTAGCTAAAGGGTTATCAGGCCCAGACCAAACCCAGGTTCGATTCACTACATGCACGGTACCATGTGTGGAGGGCGTTTCCAGTGTGCACCGACGTCATATAGCGGTACTAATGCTAAAACCGACATAAAACAATACTCCCGCTTAAAACAGTCTCTTGTACCAGTTCGAGTCTACACAAGTGCAATTCCAGTCAACTCCAGTAGACAGTTTGGAAGCTGTCAACTTTATGATAAATATGATAATCATGTATATTTTCGAAACAAAGAAGTAATCATAATTTGATGAACAATATTACAATTTTATTTGAGTATGACGATCTTAAATAGGTAAATAAAACGTCAATCAGACTCGATTATCGACCGAAACAGATTCATTCGGGCGTTTAATGCAAAACAAAGGTGTAAACCAAGCCTAGTGGTAAAAGCGTTCTCTCGTCACGCCCGGGTTCGATTCAATGTGTGAAGCCCATTTCTGGTGTCCCTCGACGTGATATTGTTGGAATATTGTTAAAAGCGGCATAAAACTAAACGCACTCTTTTGTTATTCAATCCACATGAAGGATGGAAAAAAATATCGGTTTGCGTCGAATGAGTGAGTGAGTGTGTATGGGTTCACGCCGCTCTTAACAATAATCCAGCAATATCACGGCGGGGGACACCAATGGTGGGCTTCACACATTGTACCCATGTGGGGAATTGAACCTGGGTCTTCAGCGTAACGATCGAACCACTAGGCTACCCCACTGCCCCGGGATAACGTCAAAAAAACGGCATAAACTAATAGTTAATACGACCTTTACACGTGTTATTCATATATTGTAAACATGGCAAATTTACGAGTAAACCACACTTAAAGACTCTTCGGCTATCTTTCCGTACTCGTCTTACGCTGACTGTGACATCGTTAGTGGAACATTCCACGACAGTGGCCGTAAATCTCCAAGTATCTATATCCTGACAAATATTTGACCTGGTTTAAGACCTCCCTGGCAACTTGTAACATCGTGTAAATGTTTCAAGGAGATGTCCTACAGAAGCGGGTTATGTCAACATGTCGCCCCCACGTTTATTCGTGATGCTAATGAGCAGGTATTTGTCAAGCAGGGATGGAAACACTCGACAGTGTACTCTTACACACTGCGTGTACCCACTGTGAATCCTTAATCCTCATAGGGGCGGTGGGGTAGCCTAGTTGTTAAAGCGTTCGCTCGTCACGCCGAAGACCCTGGTTCGATTCCCCGCGTGGGTTCAATGTGTGAAGCCCATTTCTGGTGTCACCCGTAGTGATATTGCTGGAATATTGCTAACAGCGTCGTAAAACCATATTCACTAATTTAATCCTCATACTTTATTCAGTGTAGAATGTATGTGTGGCATAACCACATTTAATTAATTTGAGTAAACGTATCTTTTAAGTGTCATTAGGAGAGATACACATTTAAAACACGGCTGTTAACCCAGTACTCGATACTTACAGAACTGAACTGTGAAATCAGCAAATGACAGACGAGATCAATGCATAATGTAACTGGAAAGTAGAAAAACTACCCGCGAATAGACGGAACAATTTTAAGAGTGAGTGGGTGACGCCGCTTTTAGCAATATTCCAGCAATATCACGGCGGGGGACACCAAAAATGAGCTTAACACATAGTACTCATGTGGGGAACCGAACCAGGGTCTTCGACGAGCCAACGCTTTAACCACTAGGCTACCCCACCGTCCCCGGCTTTTAAGAAGTCCCACGCAGAAACTTCTAAAATGATGAAAGCTGTTATGTTCATGAGTACATGGACTCAAATCAAGGACAATTCGCTGCTGTTAAAATCTGGCAACGTAACTTGCACATAAGAATAGCAATACGTTTTATCACAATATTCACTATTGTTACGTATGAAACTGCGATGTCTAGTCCTCGGAACCATCCTGGGTGTGACCTTTTCCACCAAAGTCAGAAATACAAATGCCGTTAAGGCTCTATGGGGAGTTTCCCCAAAACCGATTAGGGTTCTGTTTGTGACAGATATGCTTTAGCTTGATTTTGATATTACAGTAGCCTATTGGTACAACTGCTACTGGTAACAACCATGCACCACAGACAAGCAAAAAAGAAATAAATTGCATTTGGGTTTGACGGCATGGTGATGAATATATATGTATTGTGATGGGAATTCCCGACAGTTTCATCACTTTATAATTAATGCATGCAAAAAAAACCTCGAGAACTTACCGACATACTCAGACTGCCTGTGTGACGCTCCAGTAGAGATACTGTAGAGCGACTCGGAAGGTCAATTCTCGCAAATCTTTATATAGTGAAGCCTATCTAACATGACACATATTTCCGCTTCATGGACACTTGAAGTGACATCCATATCTACGTTGATATACAGTACTATATTAGCTTGGGCGGGGAGACCAAGGAAACAGATCACATGGCCGAATGAGTGAGAAACTACAAAAGAAAGATCACACTTGATGATTTACCAAAACATAACAAACGTTATCAAAACATTACCAGGTTGAGAAAGCAAATGGGTCACAAAATGAACCCTTATCGGCTCCCCATAAAGCCTCAACGGCATTTGTATTTCTGAGACTGGCGGAAAAGGTGACGCTGTGGACTTGACATCGTGGTTTCATACGTAACAATAGTGAATATATTCTAAATGCCTTTCAAAAACTTGAGAACAGTCGACCAAACACTGCAAACCACTATTTCTATTCGTAGTTACCTATATGTGTATAAGTACTGATATTTATCTGTTTGAATCTGTGGGATGATCAAGTAATGGAAGTTGGTCATTAAAGCTATCCAGCTATATGTCCATAAGACCTACCGAAATGGCAGCCCTGGAGATATAGGAGGTATTTGTAGAAACGTAGAAAACGCGATGGAATATTGTTAGAAGCGTCATAAAATAAAACACTTTGAGCGAATTTGCTGACAGAAGCAATTGAAGCGGCCCATATATATGAATACATGCGTGCATGGTGCGAGAAATTCCGAATTTAGTGGTGGAATATACAATCGAGTCTTTCATTAGGGGATTATATGTTTTGGGATTCATTCGTCAACTGTGTTTGACATTTTCCCCCAACACGTTCTATCCGTTCGAAGTGACCGTTTATAATTTATGGCTTGGGGTGGGGGTGGGGGTGATGATGATATTAAGGGTGTCACCCATTTTGTTCTGGGGAGCTAGGGAGGTTATCAATTTTGTACTTAGAAAGGGGTGGGGGTGTCAGCAATTTTGTAGATAATGTTATGTTTAAAATTATGCTAGAAATTATGGGAAGAGGAGAGGCGGGTCATTGATTTTGTCATGACATGCGGAGGTGGGGGTGGGGTGTCACTTTGTTTTGTACATAAATTTGGGGGGTGGGATTCACATTGTACATGCTATTTCATAAAAATCGTCATCATTTTGCATTTCAGCAATAGCGAGCAGAGGTAACACAGCACCTCACAACCGAGGGTCTAGCTAATGTCAGTTTGCGCCTTGTGGTAATGGTTACCATGACAGCTGCAGGTTTTACGAATAAATTAACAGCTTTGTTGCTTGTGATTATCGCCCCATTCGTCAATCTCACAAATCATATGAAAAATCTGCTGACAGTTTCAAACTGGCATATACTGTAGTTTGTATTGATCACGCGTCAAGATTATCTTCACGTGACGATTTCGCCGGTGTGACCTTTGAGCCCGGAAGTAGTTGTGAATCAAAACAAAAATGGCGAAGGATGAGGTAAGTTGACGCGTTTGGTTTCCAAGCGGCTGTGTTTTTAGCTGTGTTGTTTCAAAACTCTTTGTATAATTTCTTCGTGTTCTTATGTTTCAGCTAACGAACGAAAATATTGAATATGTTCGGAAAGGATTCGAGAAGAAATATGCAGGTGAGACAATTCTGGAAAGAACAATTCGATTGACAAGTCACATGGTGCTATAGTTCATATGAATAAACTCGTATTCCAGCCAAGGCCTACATCGAGTTGTCGAGCACACCTTGGTATAGTGCAAAGTCGTCTAGTTATATGCTGGACTAATGGTGCTACTGCTTTATAAAAACACCCACGTTAGTATGACCTCGTTGGCAGACCGTAGTCTGCAGATATTGACTTGCTTGACATGTTTTAAATTATGTTGCTATCTCTTCAGAAGCGGGTGAAATGACTGTTGAAATAAAGTTAGGAACTTGGGTTAGAATGCATGCTGTATAGTAGTCCAGCATATAACTAGACGACTTTGCACTATGCCAAGGTGTGCTCGACAACTCCATGTAGGCCTTGGCTGGAATACGAGTTTATTCATATGAACTAGCCATATAGCAATTTAGCATGACCAGAATAAATTCCAGTTTTGTTTGTCAAGGATGTTTAACATATTTAAAGTAGTTCCTGCAGGAAGGTTAATTTTTATATTTAGTAGTGGTGATTGTAGCCAAATTGTATGCTGTCCAAAGTGTCATCAAATACTGCACGCGCTCTATCGGGGGAGTACATGTGCGATCGGAGTGCACAAACAGTTTCACTGGTAGGGCGGGTGCCCAGTCGCTGTCGTGAGAAGTTTTATTGACAATGGAAATCGGGAAGTAAAGTCATATAAAAAGCAAACAAACATCAATATTATTTACCCCAGATCGTTAATACCACTTCAGATGCAAAATCAGTTGCCTTTATAACAAAAAATAGAAAGCGAAAATTCAGTTAGATCAGTCGTCTGCTGGTGACAGGCAATATATAAATAGGAAGCCACATGATCACAACACTCCCTCGAAGTGCGGAGCAAAAAGTATGGCTCATCGTCGAAAACCCATACAAAATACCCGCATGTTACGAGCGGCAACAGTTTCGCAGATACGATGCCATTAACACTATTTTTGTAGGGAACACTTGATATTTTTGTGTGAAATAGATGAATATATCCATTATCACTCAAGGTTAGTAAAATAAAAACTTTAAATGGTATTACAGATAAAAAATATGTTTTTGTCTTACATCGTCGAAAACCCCTGACACTGGGATATTCCATATACACTGAAAAGGAGTGCTTGGAAGCGAGCAGGACTTTACCCAGCCCCCTAAGTTACCCAGCCCCCCCCAGGTTTGTAGTAATATGCACTTTGACACAAAACAAATTTTAAGAAATGTTTCTTAGTGTAGTCATTCCACTGAATAATCTCAAGTTTGAAATACTGACTAAAATGCAGCTGGCCATTCTTTCTCATTTGCTTATCACGCCATTGAAACTTTCCCAAATTGATTGTGATACTGTTTGAAGTGTACCAGAAATTGTGCTTGGTTTTATTTGCACTGATTGTAGGTTAGTAAGTTGAAAAGTTTGAAGGGAAATGTGTTAAAAAAACAACAAAGCAATCACTGCATGAAACTGAGTGCCAATTGTTGGCACTGAATTACAGTTTGCAACTTAAGCCAGCATTACAAAAAATGGTGCCAGAATTTTTATTGAGGCTCACAGACACACAAGTACTGGGCACATACTGGGATTAAAGTAACCTGTCATCATGATCATCACAAATGAAAACTTAAGCCAGTTCTCCAAAGCTTGTTTCTGCTGAATTTTCTTCTATTCTTGTAATACAACTTACAAGTCCATATGCTAAAAAGGAGCGGTGGGGTAGCCTAGTGGTTAAAGCGTTCGCTCATCACACCGAGGACCTGGGTTCAATTCCCTACACATGCTACATAGGTACAATGTGTGAAGCCCATTCCTGGTGTCTCCCGCTGTGATATTGCTGGAATATTGCTAAAAGTGGCATAAAACCATATTCACTTACCATATGCAAAGTCTACCAATCTACTGAAAATGGTATCAATATTTATGTTCAGGCTTGCAGACACGAAAGTATTGACAGCACGTACAATGATTTTAAACCTATCATGATGATCATCACTTTGGAAAACATTCATGATTTGTTGGTGTTGTCAATCGAGTCAATGCCTGTGATATGTCTATTCCAGTTGACTAATAACATAAATGTTCATGTTGAAGTTTCATTTTCTTTGAACCAAATTCCATGCCTGTGATATGTCTACAGGTACAGATGTTTCATAAAGGAATATCATTTTCTCTTTGATTCTCTTTGATTTCAGCTTAACCAATGTTAATAACTGGGAATTGGAATCACATTGACTTAATTATCTTTGGACATGTATACATAACCGAGACAGTATCTTGGCTTGTGTAAGTGGTTTAATCCTAAGAATTTTTGCCTAAACAATGTGTCGGACATTTTGCCTCTCTTGTGTTAATCATGATAATTCACTTCCTAGACAACCTGAAGAAGAACGATGTGTATGACAAGCGAGATGTGGACAGATTTAAGGATAGTGATGATTATGTCAAGACATTCATCAGGGGCAAGGAGAGGCTAGATGAGGCGGTGGATCTGGTCCATGAGTCACTGAAGTGGAGATTAGAATGGCATATAAATGGTAAGTATTGACAGTACATCACTCAGGTAGAACATGGAGTGGTGTATAAATGGTAAATGTTGGCAGAATGTCACAGAAGTGGAGAGTTGACTGATAAAGCAAATTATTGACAGATCACTGAATTAATGATTGGAATTATTTATAAATGTTTGTTTTTTCTTTATAAACATGACAAATAGAAAGCGTGTTTGTCAAGTACTTTTGTTGTACTTCTGGCAAACAAAACTGTGCAGGTTTCTCACTTTGCCTTCCAAAAATAGTTGCCTACTTGATAAGCTTAAAACTGTAATCACTAAAGCTGTTGCGATTCACTCGCATATTCAGTGAATCAACCATATCGCTTCATGAATTCAGTTTGCTATTCGCTATCTCTATTCATGAATTTTATAAAAAGGAGTTACCCATGAAGGTCCGTGTAAGAATAGTGATCTTCAGTAACCCATGCTTGTCGTAAGAGGCGACTAATGGAATCAGGTGGTCGGGCTTGCTGACTTGGTTGACACATGTCATCGGTTCCCAATTGCACACATCGATGCTCATGCTGTTGATCACTGGATTGTCTGGTCCAGACTCGATTATCTACAGACCGCCGCCATATAGCTGGAATATTGCTGAGTGCGGCGTAAAACTAAACTCACTCACTCACTATAAAAAGGAGTGCTTTACTTGATTTAGGTTATTTATTAAAGCGAAATATGCAGAATGGAATATATATAAGAGAATCAGGGGAATAGTCAACACTGTTGTATAGCTACCTGACTATACGATATAACTGGTCATGGACACTGTTGACATGCTTAAAACAGGTAAAGAGTTGTTTTGATACTGTTTCAGTACAGATAAGGAAATAATACATCTACTGCTGACTTTTTATGGTATTCGTTACCCAGTATTTGTGATATGCATCATCTCATACTGGATTCGTTGCAGCACTAGTAATCATTCATAAGATTGCACAAAATACTCAGGTTTGGGTTTGGTTCTCCCACGGATGGTGTTGGCGATGATGATGATGTGTGTGATTGTTTCAGATTTGACGGAGGATAGCTTTGAGAGATGGGTATGGGACAAAGGGGCCTTATTTTTCCATAACACCGACAAGGATGGCCACAAGATCTGTAAGTTTGCTGTATCACTTTCAGTATCAGGTATAGTCAATTTGCAGTGAAAATGTACTGATGAATTTCACTTTAAACAAAAAAGTAAATTGAATAAAGTGAAATTAAGATTGCAAATCCTCATAATTTTACCTTGCCAGTTGAACATTTAAATCTTGGAATTGTATTCATCTTAGTATAAAAGTTGTTTAACAAACGATCATAGTTTCAAATCGCTATTATTGGTTTGTATTACAAGGAGGAATGCACATTAAATGAAACATCGAGAACATGTAGGTTTGGTCGAAGTTAACGCTCATCACGTACCACACATGCATTTGTTTTACTGTTCCAACTACTGCGCTTAACCCCCAACCCTGCTTAACCACTTAGAGTTTTGTTTTATGTCGCTATTTAGCAATGTTTCAGCAATGTCGTGGCAGGGCTTTACACATTGTAGGTATTTGGGGAATTGAACTTAAGTCCTCAGCAGACAAGTGAACGCTTCAACTGCTAGGCTACCCCACCACCTATGTCTCTCCAGGTAGATTCTACAGTAGTGATTTATGTTCTTGCAGTGACTATCCGGGTGTGCCTCCACAAGAAGGACCCACAGACCCTGCCTATCATCAAGCGGTTGTTCTCGTACCACCTGGAGCAACATTTCAAGGAGACGCCGCATGAACAGGTGGTCATTATGTTTGACATGCAGGATGCCGGACTCTCTCACCTGGTCAGTGGCACTTTCTCTAAGGAAATTTTTGCTCACCTGGAGACCCTGCTTATCACCTTTGTGAATTAGAACACACATTTCATTCAACCAATCAGAACCTGTGAAAGTCCAAATTTTTTATGCAACCTTGAAATGGTTAACACCAAACCACAGTCATAGTCAGTACAACTGATTTCGTCATATATCTTCATCTATTTCTCACTTTAGGAAATTTTTTTTTCAAAGGTAAGAACTTTCCACAGCCTGTTGGAAGTACTGCCATACAATCTTGGCCTTCTGGGAGACATTCCAAAAATTTCTGTTGTTCTGTCAGGTTAGAATTGGTCTTCATCAAACCCATGCTTGTCAGAAGATGCAAGTAAAGGGATCAGGTGGTCAGGCTCGCTGACTTGGTTGACACATATCATCGTATCCTAAATGCGTAGATCGATGCTCATGCTGTTGATCACTGGGTCGCCTGGTTCAGATTTAATTATTTACATTCTGCCACCATATAGCTGGAATATTGCTGAGTGTGGCATAAAACTAAAGTCACTCACTCACAGGTCGCCAGTTTGAAGCAAGTGCCCTAAGACTCAGAAAAGCTGCTATCTGATTGACTTCCTGCAAGTCATTTCAAAGGTGAAAAGTCACTGTCACATGACCTGTAAATTGATTGTCAACTAATCTTTTTTTAGGATTAGTAATGAATAGCATATAGCGTGGTAAATCTAAAATATACGTTCCAAGCAGCCTGTTCTTGTAAGGGGCTTCTATGTTGACTCTGTGCTTAGCTTTGGTGCCTTGGTTGACTTTGTCTTCATATCCCAAATGAATGCTAATGATGTAAATCACTGGATTGTTTGGTCCAGACTTGATTATATTTGCCATCCCATAGCTGGAATACTGAGTGTTAAACAGCAAACAATATTCACCCATCCTGTAAAATATATAAAATGTTAAAACTGAGTTATATTTGTCTGATGATATCCATGACATTGCCCTTATCACACTGAAGCAGCCATGTCTTGCTGATGAGGTTCATGCTTGTATGGGGTTGGTGGGGTAGCCTAGTGGTTAAAGTGTTTGCTTGTCCCGTCAAGGACCTGGGTTTGATTCCCCACATTGATACAACTGTGTGAAGCCAATTTTTGGTGTACCACCCATGATATTGGTGGAATATTGCTTAAAACAGAGTAAAACCATACTCACTCACGCATGCTTGCAGGACATGGACCTAGTGAAGTACGTCATCAACAGCTTCAAGTACTACTATCCCTGTATGCTGGGTAAGATATTTACCTACCTCCTTAACTAGCACAGACAGGAACTGAGAACATTTTGGATGCATCAACCTGGCTTTCATCCTTGTGGAAAATCACAAACCCCTGTTTTATCTAGTGTGTCAGTGTGTTAACTCCTTCTAGTATGACAAAGATACACCTGAAAAGTTGCCATACCCTTGTATTGGAAGGGGCATCTCCATTTCTATCTCACCACAGGATCTCCATTGCTGATGAATATAATCTGATTGGATGGAGGGTGGGGGGTATTGCTGAAAGTGGTGTAAAACCACTCTTACCAACTCACTCACTTATTAGACCGCCTCCGTGGTGTAGTGGTTACCAAAAGACGTTAAAATATGGTACTTGTTGGTCCCTGCCTGGCGCTCGGCATTAATGGGTACAACAGGGACTGGTCGGCTCGGAGTCAATATAATGTGTCTGAGTGGGGTATTCATGCTTCATTGCTGCATGGTATCTCAGTGAGCTAGCACTATAAAACCAGCTTCAGTCTGGGCTAGTACAAGCAGCCGCACATACACATACACACGCATGCATGTCGTCATATGAGTGAAATATTCTCAAGCATGACGTTAAACCCAATTTCACCTCACCTCACTCACTTATTGAATGGGTATTTGTAGTAGTGTGTATTTTGTATATGGTTCAAAGTGATGCAATTGAGGCAAGTAAGTCCAGGGTATATGTTGTATCAGAATGGAGGATATACCCACATATCAAGGATGCCTTGCTTTGAATAATTGGACATAAAATTGAAAAGTAACCCTCGTAACCCTGCTTACATAATAAAGCCAGATTTTATGTACTCCATTTTCTTACTTCTTATTGAACAAGTTGTAGGATATTAGTACTGTAACCATGGCAACAGCAATGTAATAATGGTGAATCTGTTTGCAGCATACATGCTGATATTTGAGATGCCTTGGATTTTGAATGGTAAGTTTGGTTTTTATAATCTGTATATTATATCATGTATGGAATATGGTGCTGTAATTCAGATACTTTGGTGATTAACAAACTTTCTTGTAAGTTGTTGTCATTGTTGGGCAATTAGAGTTTTAAACATGTCTGTGAAGAACTTATTGAAGGTTGACATTAACATTTTAAAGTTTTCGTCATGGTGATGTTACAGTCAGTCATTTGTTCCTAGTTGTCTGGGTTAGGACTGGCCTTCAACAGCCCCTGCTTGTCATTAGACATATACTGTATATGTAAAAATAACAGTGTGGCTTCATTTACATCTTGGGGCGGTGAGATAGCCTTGTGGTTAAAGCATTCGCTTGTCACACTGAAGACCCGGGTTCGATTCCCCACGTGGGTACAATGTGTGAAGCCCATTTCTTTATGGGATTAAATGACATTTTCGTTAAACATAATGGAGTTTGTAGCTGTCAATTGTAGCTGTCTGTTAAATGATAAACAGACTTGTACAGTGAGGAGCTCCTTGTACCTGTACAAATGCTGGACACTTTATTTGCAGATTATATGTTACATTACATCGAAATGGAGGGATAAATTTAAAAGTAAGAAATAAATCTTTGAATTGTGTCAGTTGTCCTGGGTGTTAGAAATCCTAGAGTGTAACTGTATCCCCATTGTAGCTGCCTGGAAAGTAATAAAGACTTGGCTGAGTGCTGAGGCTGCAGCTAAGATAAAGTTTGTGACGAGGAGTGACATCCAGGCCTACATCAACAAGGACCAGCTGGTGGAGCGCATGGGGGGCACGGTGAGTTGGGTGGGGCAAGGGGTCAGTTAATGCTGTCAGAGTGAGTCAGCCAGTTAATCAGAAGCACCCGAGGAGAGGCACATTTGATGCTAATTACTGATGATGTGTGAATGGGTCATCTTCATAGGGCATCCAAGCAATGGTACAATGTTCTGCTGGTATAAGTTATTTCTGACAATTAAATCACAATCTTGACTTGAAATGAATTATTATATGATAGTGCAAGATAAATGAAAAATGAAAATTGCTTTACAAGAATGTTCAGAACCTTGACGTTTGACAGTAATGGTTCGCAATATACTGTGTTTATTTACTATGTAACTATTAGAAAAGTAGATGATATTGTAATACAAAATACCGAGTGAAAAAGTGTCATAATGACAAATGTTCTCATAATGAGAATGATGAGGGGCCAATAGGGAGGCAGTATATGAGTTGAAATGGCTACTATTAGGTCCCCAGTAACCTATTCTGGTCTTAAGAGACAACTTAATGGTTTGGATGGTTGGGCTTTTTGACTTGGTTGATTGCACATGTATATACCCTACAGCTTCGGTTGTTGCTGGTAATATTCAGGAATAGGATAAATGAACTTTTACTGGCTGTTGTAATATTTATTGCTGAAATATTGCTAAATGCTGTGTTAAAAAACACTTAAACATAAACAATATAGACAGTAGTTTTGTTACATGCACAGATTATTTATTTACAAATGGTGTTCACCACTTTCAGGATAAGTTCAAGTACAAGTATGTTCCCAGTGCCAGTCGGACTGAGGGGGACGGCAGCGCTACTGTCAACTCCGCAGCCAGGAAAAGGGTGAGTACTGGGAAGAATACACTGTTCAAGCGATGCACAATAAAGGGGAGGGAGGAAGCACATACCATCATGGGAGAAGAGTCATTAGGGTAGCCTAGCGGTTACTGTGTTTGCTTGTCACACTGTTTACCTGGTTTGATCCCCACATGGGTACAATGTGCATGATGTGTGAAGCTCATTTTGGTGTTCCCTACTATGATATTGCTGGAGCTCAGTAAAACAGTACAGAACCATACCTAGGAAAATGGTTTGGATTCTTTTGGTGGACATTGGCTAATGTTATTTCTTTAAATATATTTTTTGTATAATGTTTGTTTGTTGTGTTCTGACAGTTTGGTAACAGTTTATGATTTCCTGCTTTGTTGTGACCAGATTTATTTCTTGTTTGTTTCTAAAAGATAGACATGATCCTTTGCAACCATGAAATTATTTTCAAAAGATAAAACACTTGACCAAAATATTTACTCCTATCCAACCTCTGGTATAAGTACTGTTGTCTGAGACAAGGTATTTTAATTGACCTGGTGAAAAAAGAAATCAAATTGGTCTTTTTAATATCAATGTTTTGTACGCTGCTGCTGCTGCTGCTTATTGTTGTCTATGTATTAAAAGCCACGTTTTCAGTGTATGGTTTTGAGTGAAATTCCTAGCTCATTATGTAATAGGATAGCCAAAAGAAAAGTACCATTGTTTTGTTTCTTGATAATTTCAGAGCAAAGAGGTGAGCTGTTGCCATGGTAACGGGAAACTCAAAAACACCAAAAACCAGTAAAATGAAATGCAGTGAAACTAACATACCTTTGATGCTTATTCTACACTAACACTATTTACGAACATTTGAAACAGGTAAATCTTTGCAACAGCACTTGAAAATACCCTTTTTGAATAAATGTTTAAAACGGTTCTAAACTCTGTCTGACTTTGCAATCTCACTATTCTCAGCTATCCATGTAGTCTGCCCTCTAATTGTAACCATAGCAACCAATTGTGATGTCATCACCACTGTTCTCTGTGTTGGCTGACCATGACATCATACTATTGTGATGTCATCTAACACAGTGTAGTTGGTTGCTAAGCAACAAGTCAGTTGTAACAATATTTCTGCTGCTCACTGCTCAATGCCTGTATGTATTCTTTGTGCTTTTATAGACATCCTAGGAGTTAGTAGTTGAGTGTTTTCTCGTCCGTCTTTTTCTACAAGGGTTGTATTTTTAAGTATTCTGTGTTTTCATGATTGTTTGTACTTACAGGTAACTTTTGCGGACCAAGATCCAGCTGTCTTCAAAAGTATCAGTGTAGACAAAGAGGACATCAACACAAATTCTAATGCAAAGGAAAGTAAACCCCTCACACTGGTATGTGTTTAATGGTTTCTTTGTAGTCTGATATTCATTGTAAACTGTCATGTAGTTGGAGTGCAGGAATGAATTGACATACATGTATTAGGTTGTTTTGATGCTCATATTGTTTTATCATTTTTGGGTTTTGAACACCAATGTTTTACTGTTGACAATGGAAATGGTTAGAAGTCCAAGAAAAGATATTTTATATTGAGTCAATGGTGGTGACAATTAAATTTGCTAACTTATGAATCAATCAAAATCTATAGGTTTAACCTCTGTCCCCTGAAACCACCTTTGAATTGTTACTAGTTGCATGGAAAAGCTTGAAACCATGACTAAGGCAGCCATCTTTTATTAACTGCAGTGTCACCAAGTATGACTTCATTATCAATTTATCCGTGAAGATCCGGGTTAGAATTGATCTTCAGTAACTCATGCTTGTAAGGGTGGTCAGGCTCGCTGACTGGGTTGACACATGTCATCATATCCCAGATTGATGTTCATGCTGTTGTTCCCTGGATTGTCTGGTCCAGATCCAATTATTTACAGACCGCCGCCATATAGCTGGAATATTGCTGAGTGTGCCGTAAAACTAAACTCACTCACCCACTCATTATCAATTATTAAGATGATATTCCAGAATCTGTCTCCTTCAAACTTACGTTCCCCACGAACAAGCCCCTCCCCGATGGCACGGAAACAACATAGAGATGAGAACTCCTTCATTGGCAGACTACTCACAGTTAGGTACGTCATGCTGTATTTGTATGAACATTTTCAGCTTCAACCATTGAATCATTCACACACACAGTCTCTTGAGAACTTTGCACTAATAGTGTTCCAGATTATTATGATGAAGGTGGACTGGTGAGAATTTGTATCATCACTTAAAAAGTTAAACGTCATGTATGTGATGGGATTAGATTGTGATCAAAATGAAGCTGTGCAGCTTAGAGTCATATTCCAAACGACAATTTGATTTATGCTTTTGGCCTAGTTTGATGATGAATGCCAGGCCAGGAACTTTTGATACCACTTGCCTGAACTTTACTCTTAGCATCATTTTTGGTTGAGTTTATAGAGAATCTCACCCAAGTGTCTTCTGATATCAATTATATCAACACGAGTTGATAAAGTTACAAATATCTGAGGCTTGCCGAGGATATTTTAACTTTTATCAAAGAGTGTTGATATATTTCATATCAGAAGACACAGAGGGTGAGATTCTATTTATCATCCAAAATCACCCTTCATTAGTTTTCAATGAAACATGTACATCTCTGAACACAGTACTGCCATTAGGCTTGCAGTGAAGCGATGTCATGTCATTGTGACGTCATCAAGTTCATGACATCATAGCATTGTCAGGGCATTGTACAAAATCTGCTGTCAAAGCGATATCTCCTAGGAGATATCGTTTGATCTCACACAAGCGATGTCTCCTGTGGAACACAGTTTTGGATGATAAAATGTTGTTAACTATTATCAGCTGAGATTACAAGTACAAACAGAATTTTACTAGTCTTGGCCATCATACCTGTTGCTATAGTCGCAGACTGAAGACAGTTTTAAATAGGTACAATGTTTGATGCCTGTTCTTGATTTCATACAATGTTACATCACATCACTTGGCCATCTATTGGGATTGCCTTGTCCTACACAGTTATTGTGCTTAGTCATCGAAGATGGTATAAAAAACCCATTCACGTTACACTATGTATGTAACTAATGTCAGTGTTCTGTCTGTTATAGTCCTGCTGAGGAGCTGGAATTTAATGTTGATGAGAATGGCCGGGAATCTTATGACATAATATCTCTCACCAACACACTTCCATATGCCGTGGCATACAAAGTGAAGACCACTTCCCCCGAGAAGTACCGTGTGCGCCCCAGTTCGGGTGTTGTGAAGGCTGGAACTTGTACAGAGGTGTATGTCTACCTGCAGGCAGGTCAGTGAACAGGGCTCATATAGGGATGCTCACCACACCTCTATACAAAACTACTCTAACCCACCACCCTTATCACCATGTCATACGAAGCAGTGGGTAGCACTCTTGTCCATGTTTGCCCAAACAAGGTCACTGTTTGTTTGTTTGTTTGTTTGTTTGTAATCTCCTAAGAGACATTGGGTGACCTCACTACAAGCAATATTTCCTGTATAAAGCAGATTGGGATGATGAACAAGCTGACTCGATCTGGCTGCAGACTAGTGGAGAGAACAAACAGCCAGGGTTTGATCGCCAATGGCTTTATGATATGCAAGCCTGGGCCCCGTTTCACAAAGCTCTCATAAGGCTAAGATCTGGTAACTTTTCTGATAGCATTGGTACCTCCTATGTTACAGTATAGGAGGTACGTGTGCTACGAGAAAAGTTACGAGATCTTAGGCTTACGAGAGCTTTGTGAAACCGGGCCCTGGTCTTTTTCACCCCTGCTTTATTTCCTGGCTGTGAAAATGTGAAAGGTGTCAGAAAGTCTTCCACCTCTCTTTTGGTTCTTTGACTGTTTCAGAAAAAGTCTGATGTCAGATGAAGTTCATGTATCTTAATATGAATTGTTACTCCACTTTTTGCATAAGGGAAGTCATATTTTGCATAAGAGAGTTAACATGTATTCAATGGAGTGTCTATATCTGTGTGACTGATATATCTTCTCCTATGTAGGCTACCAGAACAGCACCATCCAGAAGGACAAGTTCCTCATCATGGGGATGGACGTGACAGATGACAGCACCACCGTCAGTGAGCTATGGAAGATTGTACCCAGGGACAGTATCATGGAGCACAGGTAACAGCAGCTCTCTGCCCTACCAGCAGCTCTCTGCCCTACCAGCAGCTCTCTGCCCTACCAGCACCTCTCTGCCCTACCAGCACCTCTCTGCCCTACCAGCACCTCTCTGCCCTACCAGCACCTCTCTGCCCTACAAGCACCTCTCTGCCCTACCAGCACCTCTCCCCTGTCTGCACTACTCTGTACTTTGAGTCCCTTTTCTGTGTCCCCCCATCCTTCCCTGCTGACATATGCCCTGTATACTCTATACTTGTCTGCCAACCCACTCTATGACCATCTTCACTATTCATCCTTGCTGACAACTCTCTATGTACCCATCATGTTACTGACATGTACCCGTGAAGATCCGTGTTAGAATTGGTCTTCAGTAACCCATGCTTGTGGTAAGAGGTGACTAACGGGATAAGGTGGTCAGACTCACTGACTTGGTGGACAAATGTAATTGTATCCCAATTGCGTAGGTTGTTGCTCATGCTGTTGATCACTGGGTTGTATGGTCCAGATTTGATTATTTACAGACCGTCGCCATATAGCTGAAATATTATACAGTTATAGACGGGTGATGAGGTCAATACCTGTTTTTATGGACCCGCGAAAAGCAATATTGACTGAGGATGTTTTTATGTACTTTGTCCTCGGTCAATATTGCTTTTCGCGGGTCCATAAAAACAGGTATTGACCGAATTCGCCAGTCTATAATTGTTTTATTATGTAATTACCGAAGAAAGCTTCTAAAATCCAAAACATGTCCATTTAGTCATGAAAAGTAATTTTATTTTCACTGCAAACCAATAACATTATGTCAACAATACAGTGACATGTAAACAATAAAAAGACGTCATAGCTTAACGTCATAGTAACTCAGGTCAATATGACTTTTGGTCGGACCTGGGTTGGAGTCAATATGCTTTTTTGTCGATGGTCACGTGACCGCCTCTAGACCAATCAGGTAGCTGAAAAATATGCTTGCATAATAATGCTCATTGTGGCGTAAAACTCAACTCACTAACTCACTCCCTATCTAAGTCCCCTGCCTACTCTACTTTTCCCTGCGGACACCTCTCTATGTCCGTCTTATATGTGTGATATATGCTGCTATAAAGGGATTATCTGGCCAAGATTCAATCAGCTACAGGCCGCAATGTGTAGCTGGCATATTGTAAGGGCTGCATTAAACAACAACTAAGGTTGTCATCAGATATACCATTGACATGGTCCAGTGCTCATAGTATCAGTCACTGGCAGTGCAGCCTATCTATAACAATCATCCTCAGCCTCCCTGTTACACAAACATCCCACCCTCTGTTTCAGACTGCGCTGTGTCTATACATCCAGCAAGGGCTCCCCGGACACACCCACCAAGGAAATACCCCTGTCAATGCCAGAACAAGTAGCACGCATGTCAAAACAGGTGGGTTATCAAAATGTAGCTTTCATGGATTGTTACATCTTTCCATTTGGTTGACATTTCACCTATGTTATTATAAAAAATTCTTTTAGCATGTTTAAGTAATCAGTTCAAAGTGGTCAAGGTCTTGGTATGTTATAATCTTAGACAAATCGAGAATAGCCAGTGTTGTGGTGAATATTTGTCTCAAACAAATGAACGATGTATCGCCCCTGATTAGTTGGTTCTTTTACTGCCATGGATCGGTATGATAGTTGGTAATGCATTGGTTTATTACACTTGGAGACCCTAGTTTGTACATAATAAGTATAATGTATGGAGCTCAATTATGGTGTTGGCTCAGTAGGGTAGCCTTGTGGTTAATGTGTTAGCTCGTCTTGCTATACACCCAGGTTCAATTCTCCCACACGGGGAATATTGCTAAAAGCAGCATGAAAGCTTACTCACACTCATTTTTGGTGTCCAGGCATCCCACAGCATGATATTGGTGAAGTATTGCTTGGCATGGTATAAAATTCTCAAAGGAATAGCGTACAGAAATTTTTGTTACAGTTGTAAATATGAAACTTGATTCCTTTCAGATGGATGAACTGGTTACCAGTAACAACCGCCTGGAGCAGCGTGTTCAGTGGCTGGTGTGGTCACAGATACTCATGTTGTTTGCTGTGATAACCGCCATTGTAGCCATGTATTTCTACGAGACATCTGCAGGTGGAAGATATGGCTCCTGTGTTTCGTCACTATTCTAAGACATCATTTCCCTCTCAGGCAAATAAAATGTAGCAAATTCTTGTTTAAAAATTGACCGTCAGTGTGACAAGTTAAATTGAAATATACCATTAGGAAATTTTATGTTAACTCACAATCTTATCTTATGTTTGTATCCGATGTTCCAATCAACAAAGCTGATATTTTCTGTCAGATACATGTTGAAATGTGTTCATTTGTTGTAAAGGAAAGATTACCTGAAAATTCAGAATTTCCAATATTTCACTGGAAAAATCTGACTTGTATGTATCACAATTTTGGATGGAAATGAGCTCATTAAAAATATTTCTTAAAAGAGGTGCTTGCTGACATGCAAGTAGGAAACCCAAAATAATGTATGAAATTTGTTAAAGACATCAGACAATTTCTTGCTGTGATACAAAATGCAGAAAAAAACACTGTTCCGATATTTTTGTAGTGAGTCCTACAAGGAGAATAAGACTATAGAAACAATATTTATTGCTAGTTTTGAAATTTTTATTATGATCTGAAGGGAATATTTTTACATGCAATAGTTTCTATATGTGAAATCCATTTAGATTTCTTCTGTGATATTTATTTATAATGTAAAGTATTTCATATATAATCCATGCAAGTGCTTGCTAGAAACGTTTGCAGAGAGGAGAAGATACACATTCTTGGAATTTGAAATTAGGTGGACCATTGTATACCCAGGGAAGGCCAACTGAATGCTCAAGTTCACAGATATGACATTTTTAGTTTTGTTTCCCATCCCAGTGACATGGTTCCTTGGCTGTATTGACCTATAGAAATATGGTCACAGCTGTTCATGTTGCAGGATTCCTAAACCGATGCTGCCTCGTGGTACCGGATTAGCTCTTTTAATTGTTGCGACAGTTTTGTTTTTTACACTGCAACATTTTGTTGTCACTACTGATGCCTTCATCAGGAATTGATTGTTGAAGATTTGGGAAGAGGGATGATAATGAAGGCTATGTTGTTTGGATTGGTACATCCTGAGTTTTGACGACTGTGCAATTTCAGTAGCTTTTTTACGATCGGTTCTGTGTCAGTGAAGGTTTTCAAGAGCATTTCATTTCATTCCATGTCTCAGTGTTGGAATTCCACCATAATGTTCATTCCAGTTGCTCTACAGCCATAATAAGATTTGTATGCAGTGTCAACTCACATCTGATAATCATCGGATTGATCGGTCTCATGTCACAGAGTATGTTTGAACAGTATATTGCAGGATTTCTAGGCTTTTGGGATTCGCCTGAGAGGTAAAGGTCTGACCTGCGTCACTTTAGGCGTTCCTCACACATGAAGACTCATGCAGTGAAATACCTGGAATACTTTTCAGTGGCGTTAAACACAACTCACTTGTTCAAGAAGTCAGGGTTCACATTAAGATGGGGGCGGTGGGGTAGCCTAGTGGTTAAAGCGTTGACTCGTCATGCCGAAGACCCGGGTTCGAATCCCCACATGGGTACAATGCGTGAAGCCCATTTCTGGTGTCCCCCGCCGTGATGTTGCTGGAATATTGCTAAGAGCGGCGTAAAACCAAACTCATTTTTAACAAGAAAAATGGTTACAAGAGAATGGACTACTGTTTTGAGTATCGGTTATTTGTTTGAAAGGTAAAAGACTTAACTGACCTTCTTTTCAAGATATATGCAAAATCGATAAAAAGAACGAATCGAAGGTTTTAGATAACCAGTCATTAGCTAGGCACGTGATAAATGTCATTGGAGAGGAAAAAGTAAGAAGTCAGTCAGTCACATTAAGATACTGTAGAAATGGTTGAAAAGCTAGATATGGAACTCTTAAATAAATGCATACTTAACAAATAGTGCATGCTGTGTGCATCAGAATGTAAGGATCCCAGGTTCTTTATGCACTATACACGTCAGTCCTGTTCCATGAAGTGATTGTAGTGCCATGACGATCAGCAGCTTTTGTTCATGTTTGGGAACTGACATCACTTCAGCACAAAGATCACTTTATGGAACAGGGTCCCGTTCTGTGCACGGTTCATACATTATAGGAAACAGTGTGTAGTATGCATGCAGTAAATAAAATGATAAATGTAGAGGGTATTTTATCTGTGCACTAACTTTTAGAAATGGTTGAAAAGTTATTCATGAAACCTTTAAATATATGCATACTTGACAAATAATGCAAAAAGGACCATATAAAAAAGCCCAGCTATTTTATGTGAATTGCAAGTCAAAGAGTTACCTTCCTTCCAGTAGAGTGCATTATCCTTAAATAGGTCAACATACTCAATGTTAGAAATTTTGGTTTCTTTAAGAAATCTTTTTAACAATGCAAATTTTGGGGTCTTCAGATTTGTGAACCAAGTAATAGAAAGTAAATGTCCTGATTTGTTATGATTGATTGAAAAATTGTGATGGAAGATGATGAGTGTCGAACAAATAAATTGTTACATTATGTCGCCACGTGTTGTTTGTTCTTCTGTAACATCAAGGAAGGCATAAGCTTGGTTGTGAACAACACTTATTCACCAGTGTTTCAAGTTTCAAGGAGGCTATGTATTTCATTACCAACTGTTTTCAGAATGAAACAGTGCCATGGCTCACCAGGAAAATAAATGAAGAAAAGTTGCCGTCCTGTCATATTTGAAATCAAATAAACCTCTTGTAGGAAGGGTGGGGTAGCCTAGTGATTAAAGTGTTTGCTCGTGGTGGAGAAGACCCAGGATCGATTACCCACATGTTGTGAAGCCCATTTCTGGTGTCCCCTGCTGTGATATTGCTGGAATATTGCTACAAATGGCGTTAAACACTAAATTCATTCACTCTTGTAGAAAGTCAGAGTTTGTCAATGCTGAGAACAAGCATGTGAAGTTTCAGCTTTGATAAAGTGCTTTCTGAGGAGATGAATGTTACAGCATGAAGAAATGCATTTTGAGAATTTTGGAACATGGTCAAATCAATGCCAACATATAAGATGTGTGTTGAGCCCTACTCATTCCAAATTTCATGACGTTTGGAAACAAAATTGAAAGTAGAACGTTCAGTTTTCAGTATGGCCAAAGTACAAAGGTTTAACTTGTATATCCCCCCCAAATATGGAACAAATGTTGATGCTTACTACCAACAACACATGAAGTGGGTCTAGGCCAAATCCCCGTCCCATCCTTTTCCCTCCAACATATTCCCCCCTGCCAAATGCCCCTGATGTTTATTGGTTAAATGGTTTCTGAGAGATGATGTTCACAGTTTACAGTGCAAAGAAATACATTGCTTCGTGAATGTCATCACATCCAACTTGCACAGGTAGATGATGTCAATCACTGGATAATCGGGTCCATACCTGAGTGTACATAGGACCATGCCATACCGGTAGCTGGAATATTACTCAATGCAGCATAAACAACTATTTCTGCTACCAGTAAAGACCATCCCCCACTTTCACAAAATGGCCTCCGCACTACAATGACCATAACTCCCATACTTGATCACTGGCTTCAAATAGTCATTACGCTAAATAAGATGGCTTTGTGCAAGTGGACCCATGTCCTGATCAATCTCGGGAGCTTTCAATCAAATTGGCAATGTCACAATACCTTATCTTATAATACTCACAAATCATAGAGCAATTGTAAGATGTTTTAGATTTGGTCTTACTACTAGAATTATTGTAAGCTACTTGCACACAATGATTGTAAGAAAAGGTCATTGTAATCAGTTAAGTTTACAATGAGTGTGGATCAATCTCAAGTCCTTACCGACTATTAAGATGGCATCAAGTGTGCTTTTGTGGCAGGTCTATTAGGAGATAATGTTATCTCCACCCCTGAAGTTTTCGATCATAGCGTAAGACCTTGTTTAGGGCAAGTGGGCCGATTACATCGCTAATAGCTGATAAAAATGGTAACATTAATGAATGACCAAGCAGATAGAGCAAACTGCACATCAATACTTTTTCAATGTCTCAATTGTACGTAACAACTCCAGATGAGAGAGTGAGTTTAGTTTTACGCCGCACTCCGCAATATTCCAGCTATATGGCGGCGGTCTGTAAATAATCGAGTCTGGACCAGTTGTGATCAACAGCATGAGCATCGATCTGTGCAAGTGGGAACCGATGACATGTCAACCAAGTCAGCGAGCCTGACCACCCGATCCCGTTAGTTGCCTCTTACGACAAGCATGGGTTACTTTCTAACCCAGACCTTCACAGGTTCCAGATGAGAGAAAAGTCCACAAATAGATGGTAGTAAAACCAACCAATACCTTTGCAATTAATATAGTACAGCTAGTCTTTACCGTAATGTACCAAATCCAAATCAAACAACAAAATACAAGGGAATGTTTTCACTTCTGTTTATTCATACATAGACAGTGACGGTTTTCTTGGTTAGCTCATGGATACTTCACATGGTCTAAAATAATGACCATTTCATCTGATTTGCTGTTTAAGTAGAGCAGCAATACTAACACTAAACACTGCAACTGGATACCAAGGATTAACTACTGTGGAATAACTATTCCGGAACAACCCATGGTGATTCTGGGTAGGAATCGGTCCCCAGCAACCTGTGCTGGTCAGTGAGGAGACTGAAGGCTTGGTGATTTTGTTCATGGCATGTCAGTTAACATGTGATTGTGTAACTTGGATATTGGTGCAGAAATACTGGAATGTCTTGACAAACGCATCAACAAAAATCATCATCAACAAATAAATTACCTCTCTTCACACTGTGCATCAGGAAGCTTCCTGGGGTTTCAAACATTTAGAAATACATTTGAGAAATATAGACCGTGAATCTGAGGCTGAAAATATCAAACAATATATTTGGGAGTTTGTCAGATCTCATTCCTTCAATGAACAGTTAAGAGCTATGCATGTGTTAGAATACTGTTCTGACTCAAAACAAATGCTAAGGGACCGTTCATAATATTTATTTATGGTGGGGGGGAGAAAGAGAAGGAAAGGAGAGATGTTCACCCATTTTGTTCTGGGGAGGTAGGGGGTCATCAATTTTGTACACTTGTTCTAGGGGTCATCAATTTTGTACATAATAAAAATATTTAAAAATTAGGCTTACAAAATATGGGAAGAGGGAGGGGTCATTGATTTTGTACATGACATGCAGAGGGGGTCATTGATTTTGTACATGACATGCAGAGGGGGTCACTTACTTTGTACATAAATTTTAGGGGGGGTCAGTCACATTGTACATGCTTCTCCATAAAAATCATCGTCACCCCCCCTAACCATATATTATGAATGGTCCCTAAGGGCGTGTTGACAAAGATGTCTCAGCAATCACATTGTCTTCAAGCTTCAGGGAGACAATTCTTACCTCAGTCTATTCCAGATGTCTTCATACAAAGATGCTTAAATTAACCACAGAGCAGGACCTGTCATAGAAATGTAGTTAAAGTGTAGTTAAAATGTACTGTCCCTGTTTTCAAAGTATACTATTCACACTTTGCTAAGGATCAAATCATGGATTCAACAGAAAACTATTATGTGGGGACAAATTTGGTTTAAATATCTAAGCTTATTGTAAGCATGGATCCTAGGTTTCAGTATGTCATTGCATCTTGTGGATCCCATACCTGCTATTGACAGGTGTTGTTTATTTGTCATTGTAAACCAAAAGTCACTGTGTTCTTTAATCTGATTGGTTGAAAATCATGACTGAATGGTATTCGATTCCTGGAAATTGCAAGACCATTCGCTGCATATTAATACGCATACAAACATCGCACACACCAGTGTATTGTTACGTCGTCAGTAGTGGTGCAGCATTCAAATCATATTGTGACGTTAAGTCCGAATGACGTCACAAATGAGCAGTTCCAGATGCTACCATGGGAGACAGCCGAAATGGCCGGCTGATGACATTAAAGTGGCTGTTTGCCTAAAGAGGGGTTACCATATTATTATTTATCCAGTTTTAAATGGAAACAATTTCAAATTATAAATTTACGTTAAGTAAAGTTGTGAATTCTTTTGATCCTTATTGAAGTGTGAGTAGTATATATTTAGTTGTAAAAGAGCTCTTAGCTTGGTGCTCTTAGCTTGGTTATAAAATGTAAAAACAAATTAAAGAATAGCTCTGATGATAGTCAAAATTATTTACGTAAAAACATTTGTGTTTTCGAAAGACAACTTTGTGAAGTCTTGTACGTCTAGAATGTGAGTACTGGCATAATTCCATGTTGAATTGTCCTATATTCCAGTGTACATCAGTCTTTCACATCCTGCATATATCCATGTCTGTATTTAACGAAGCTGGAGAACTAACGATACACAGTACCTGCCATAAGTTACAATTTCTGCATAAATAGAACTCTTGATCTGTAATTATGTACAATTAGCATAATTACTAAACTTGGTATACACATTTCCGTGATGTTGTAAAGTAGTACATTTGTACACACAAAAAAAGAGAAAGGAGATCAGAACAAAAAGTCAAGGATGACTTCCTACAAATATACATAATTTACCTTGAAATAAAAGTTCATGAATGAATAGAACAAAAGGTCATGCACATTCTTATACCAAAGAGCAATAACAACTTTATAAAATCATATTAGATGTACTTTACAAAATAGAAGGAAGGTCCATCTATAACTGGTTTGGACTCAAAAAGATCTTCAGTTATTTGATAGCATAAAAGGTAGTCTTCTACAGGTAGAATCATTTTAAGACAATGTTTTTTCTTTGTAAAGTTCCCTGGATATTTACTAAATGCTGAACACAGAGCAATCTATTGTTAAAAGGAAACAATGGACAACAAAGGGTAGAAAAACAACCATTTCAACAGCTCAATATGGATAAGTATAGGATAAAAAATCTAATTAAAATGGAATTCAAATGAAAAAGCACGAACAAAATGTATAAACATATAATAATGCTTGATGCAAATAAAACTGATGTCAATATATTACTAGGCATGATAGAGATAACAAGTGACTAACAAACAAAATCTCTTGAATTTTGACCGCCTCCGTGGTGTAGTGGTTAGAGCATCCGCCCGGAGAGCGGAAGGTCGCGGGTTCGATCCCCGACCGCGTAATACCAAAAGACGTTAAAATATGGTACTTGTTGGTCCCTGCCTGGCGCTCGGCATTAATGGGTACAACAAGGACTGGTCGGCTTGGAGTCAGTATAATGTGTCTGAGTGGGGTATTCATGCTTCACTGCGGCATGGTATCTCAGTGAGCTAGCACTATAAAACCAGCTTCAGTCTGGGCTAGTACAAGCAGCCGCACATACACATAAACACGCATGCCCGTCGTCATATGAGCAAAATATTCTCAAGCATGACATTAAACCCAATTTCACCTCACCTCACCTCTTTGAATTTTGAAACACAAAAACATTATGCAATAAAAATTTAAAACAATTTCATACAGTAACACAACTATTTAAACAAATGTTAAGAGAACTGAAATATGTTGAGATTGTATCAACTTTGACAGAAAAAAACGAACACATTTCATATGTTATTACCAGTAGTATACTGATACTTCATGTGTACCACTAACACTTTGTGTGTTCTCATTTTTATGGTTTGTGGGCAGAATAATATTAGAATAGACATAAAAACACTTTTGGGGTTGAGAATATAACTGATAAATTGTCTTTAGTGTAAGTTGGCCTAAAAAAAAGGCTAAAACTGTGAGCATTATTGTGTTATATTTGTAGTACAGCTGTTGCTGTAGTAGTGTTGATAGCTCTTAAGATTAAATAACAGAGGGATTTAGATGGTAAACACAGCAAGTAATTTTATGAAAAAACAAATTTGAAAAATATATTTTACAGCAGAATATTTCAGACTTCCACAGGAGACATTATATTGATGAGATCAAGCAATACAATGAAATTGCATCACAATCATTTGCAGACTGTTAGGACATCATCAGCATAATCAGTTACCATGACATTACAATGAAAGAATTTTCACTGAATGACATACTGGACCTGGTTAGAGGTACTGTTTATACTATAGACACTGTTCATTGCTGTTTACAAACTGAAATGTCGGAAGAAAGATTTTAGATGATCTTAGAATCTCATCCATGTGTCTTCCAAGCTTAAATACATAAAGACTTGTTGATAAATGTATACTCAAGATATTTGCAATTTGTAACAATTTAACTAAATTTCAAGCAAATCCTGTGTAAGGCAAAAACACTGAGACTTGAACTCAAAAGAATTGTAAGCACTAACATAATAAGATCTAGGATAGAAGTAAACATCTGGTTAATGTTCAAACAGAATACACAATACAGATCCTACAGAACCATGAAGGCACTGAATCCATTAAAGATACACAAGTCATGTTTCAGGAGATAATCATGATATTGGAAGTTGCCATAGGAACCTTTCCTACAGCTGTTCTCACACAAAGGATTCTTTGTCCTCGTCAGGCTTAATTCTGTCAGGATGAGAGACACTTTTAACAATACAAGATCCAGGAGACATCTCCACAGGTACTTCAGATGGGAGGGACTCCAAACTCTTCTTTGTTTTGACTTGTTCTGATGCTGGTGGTGAAGTACGGAAATACTGAATAACACTGTCCTCAAACGACCGTTTCCTGTGTTCTGGGCGACGGGATGGGGCTGTCGGACTTCCCATGGTGTTGTCTGAGGAATCCTCAGATTCGATGCAGAAAGTGGCAACGCGGGGCTCTGACAGGGTAGATTCTTCATGATCAGAATCAGACTTTGATTTGTGCTTTGAGGTATCACTTTGTAAGAGATGGCTCTCGAGTGGAGGACCTCCTTCAACCGACGATGACCAAGCTGTTGCTCCTTCAATATCATTATCTGTAGGTATGGGTATGAGAGGGACCCTGTCAGTTTCGGTACTGTAGCCCATAGGATGTTCCAAAACTTGAATGAATGGTTTTGCAAGCTTCTCCAAGCTGGAAGACAGTGTATGTACATGTTCGTGCTCATGGTTAGGTTGGTGGACATCATCTTTTTTGTCAGTCACTGGATACAACCTCTCACCACCCATGGCTCCCTCTACAGATCTGTCAATGGAAGATGGAGTCTCTATTGTAGCAGTGAAAGTCTGGGAGGTGTCTCTCCTGGAGTTGTCTATACTGTAACCAGCAGATTCCTCAGACATGGATCTGTTGTACTGAATTGGACAATCTTCCCCCTCATTTCTCTGGTCCATCTCTTCAACATCTGATGTCTCCTCTGTAAATTCTTCCAAAGCTTCTCTCAACATGGCTGTCTCATAGCTCAGTTGCTGTACAATACTGTCTGTACGTTTGAAGCGTCCCCTACGCATGATTTCTGCCTCTGAGTGAGCGTTACGATCTGGCATTGATGTGGAGCTATCTCTGCTTCTACTAGATGCTGCAAACTTTTTACTGGAATCCCCAAGGTTTGGTGCTGACTCTCTCCTGCCCGTGTACTTGCTGTTTAAAGAACTGCTGTCTACTCCACGGACATCGTTGCTGGTGTTGCTAGAAGCTACTGATGCTTCTGAATCTATCAAAGACAAGATGGCCACTTTGAAAAGCTGCCAGTCTCCAAACTTCATGCCCATGACTTTGCCCAACTCATCCATATCACAGTTGGCAAGAACTAGACCACTGATGTTGTTGTCGCGGATACTGTCGATGTATATCGGAAGCATCTGCTGGTTGACCCCTTGCAGCTTATGGAGCAGGTTGCACACAGAGTCTACGTCAAGGTGACTCAAACAAACATCTTTTGGAAGGTCCTGAAATACAATTGGTTTAATGTTGAGTTAACGCAGCTTTGAACAATATTTCAGTTACATCATGGCATTGACAGAATGATATCAGACAAAACTCTAAAGCTTGGTATTGTAAAGGCAAACTTAGAAAGTTTATCTGGGATTCAAACCCACAACCTTAGGTTTCATTCAAGGGATGCAACAGTTTGAGGGTCGGGGGGGTAATGGTACCACTTGGGCCACTTGCTGTTGCAATACTATTATACAGTTGAATGCAAGTGATGCAATATTATTGCAGTTTTGTCGTTAACCATATACCAGGGAACAAGATTTTTGGTTTACATATTCTTTAGTGAAGATACCTAGTCAGAAGGTTGGAAAAAGGATAAGAAGAGACATTTTTCTCTCCAAAATGTTGCAAAACAACTAAGCTTGTCTCAATAAACATGTTTTCTTGCAGTTGGCTTTGGCAGTGCTTATCATCAGTTTCTTTTATCTTCATATTTTGTTGGTTTTGCTGAATCTGTAAACCAATACAGAAAAGGTCCCCCTTCCCTGACTTGACAGTCCATCATCCTCAACTACGACCCCCTACCCCCTCATCACAATAACCAGTCCCGCTGCTGATGCACAGCACAATACTTACATGAAAGAAGACCTGTGGCTGTGATCTTGAGTTCTGCGCTGGAGGGTTCACCATGCCTTGATTCATCTGACTTGGATGGGCCATATACTGCATCGGCATCATACCCTGCATCCCCATTGGTCCATACTGCATCATGTGACCAGGCATCATACCAGTGAAGGAGGTAGCAGACGGAACTCTCTGCTGTAGACCAAGAAAGCTCCCTCTGGTGGGCAGAGTGGAGTCGCTATCTCGCACTCCCAGCAAGGGAGCAGATGAAGCAGGGGGATACACAGGACCCAGACCGAACTCTGTCCTCTGCATGTCGGCATTGTGTTGCATCTCTAAAGAGAAGGAGGTTTTTAGTATTAGTTCTATTGCTTGTTTGACTTTTTACAGTTTAACCCTGCTCTCAGGCAGATTTCAACTATATGATGGCAGCCTGTAAATAATTGAATCTGGACAAGTGAGTGAGTGAGTGAGTGAGTGAGTGAGTGAGTGAGTGAGTGAGTGAGTGAGTGAGTGAGTGAGTGAGTGAGTGAGTGAGTGAGTGAGTGAGTGAGTGAGTGAGTGAGTGAGTGAGTGAGTGAGTGAGTGAGTGAGTGAGTGAGTGAGTGAGTTTGGTTTTACACCGCTTTAAGCAATAATCCAGCAATATCACTGCGGGGGACACCAGAAATGAGCTTCACATATTGTACCCATGTGGGGAATCAAACCCAGGTCTTCGGCGTGACGAGCGGACACTTTAACCATCAGGCTACCCCACCGCCCCGAATCTGGGCGAGACCTGTGGTTGATATTGTGAGCAATGGTCCATGCCACTGGGGTACGTTAAGAAGCAATACAGAAGTCACCTTGCCTGACCACTTTATCCATTTAGGCACCTCTTAAGACAAGCATACGTTGTAGAGAATCAGTTCTAATCAGAAATCACCATGGGGTTCAATTTCATAATATATAGAATTCATAAATCATTAGCCCCTTTTCACTGGTAAATGAATTGAACCATTCTGACATGTGGTTCCCCAAACAGCATCAAACAGTATTGTTTATATAATTGTATTATATCATACCACTCACAACACTATGTAGGGCGGAATGACACAAAGCAACCCAGTTATCAAACCTGACCACACAGCTTATCGAGTCTTGCGAGAAGCATAGATTGTAAATGTGAAACCAATGGCCAAAATATAATTCACACTGTCATCTGTTATTAAACCCTCTGCACCACCTTATCAGACATCACCCGGGCTTCCTGTATACATATACATGTAGAGCACTGGTTGACTTGTTTCAAGTACTGGTAGCTTCAAAACAGTGTGAATAAGAAAGACGTAAGTTCAAACCCATATGTCTTGTGTTTCAACGAATCACTAACTTCCTAATGCCTATCAAAGACCTACCTCTAATGAGTTTTCGAAGGTAAGGGTCAAGGTTGATTGTACAGGGGAGAAACTTCCTCAGGTCACCAACGTTAAGAAGGGGTGTGTTTCCCGACTTGCTGGCTAAAAACGCTTCCAGCTTGCGAACATTTCTGTCTATCTCTACGAGAGGATCAATATCCTTTGAAGCAGGAACTCTTGGTGCAATTCTAAAAAATAAAATACGCTTGATACATGTGATGCACAGGAATCCCCAAAGTAATACAAATAACAGAATGGGGCTCTAGGAGCCTAGTCTACCTAATGAATCCCTCAAAGAGAAAAGCCTTGAGTGCTGAGTAACTATTCTGAAACAGAAAGTCTACAGATACAACAACTTGATACTGGGGACTTGTTCTGACCAAAATCTTAGGACTTGCAAGAGGTACTGCCAGTTTATTTTGTCCTGAATTCTCAACAAGGAGACAAGTACAGTGTATTCATGACACCTTAAGAGGAGACTAGCAATGTACATGGGATCTATATTGCATGGAAATATCCCTATGGGAGACAAGCAAATGGTACTCTGGACCTCTAACGGGCATGGACAAGAACTAGATGAAGGCTAGAGGACACTGACTTCTGGTAGACAGAGTGCAGGGACTGGGATCTGTCGAGACAGTCGCTCTCCTCGAAGTAGTAGATGATCCAGGAGACACGGTATGGCCACTGTTCAATGATGTTGATCCATGCCATCAGACGATGCCAGTTGAAGTCGATGTTGTATGCCCGCAGGAGTCGCGCTGGAGACAGAATGTAATTTTTATGATAAAATTATTATTTTTATACTTATCCTGACTCATGATTATTGCTTATCTCCCTTCTCCTTCGACGGTCAAGTGGAAACCTTGAATCCTATTCAAATTCACTGAAGCGTCCGTACAATCACTCACCCTGAGTTACCTCCCTTATTCCCGCCAAAACCGGTCCCACGTGACCTGAGACTAGCTCTTATCACTCACTCCGTAATATGCCCGCATTACAACTTACTATGATGCTGAGAATGGGGACGGTCGGGAGGGTGGTGGGTCAGCCACCTAACAGGATTCACTGTGGCTGTCTATATATAGTCCGAACGCTTGCCCCCTGTAAAATCCTGTTGTTGCCTTCCCTTGTGAATTCGTCATATAGGGGGACCACCTACTCTTAATTGATTAAGAGAAGTAAATCTTATAGATTTCCGTGGTTTTAGATAATCTAGTATTTTAGATATTCCAAACGATCCATATGTTAAGGTAAGGACTATTACCGAAACTGGTATCGCAACCAATAAGTTAAGTAAGGACTATTACTTAACAAGGTTTATATCACTCATGTTCTGACTTCTCAAGTAAGTCAGGTGGGCATGGACTCTCTGCTGGTGGCAATGGGACAGTTGCCTAGCGTCTACAAGTCAGCGTGATTTGGGTGAGTTCTCAATGTCTGGTTGGATTTGTGAGTTGTTGAGCCACTACTAGTGGTCCGAACTGGTGAATGCCTGATACATCCTCTGTCGCAATATCTCATTGATAGTGATTAGCAAACACCGTGTCAGACCTCCAAAAACAGCCTTCCATGATTGATGATAACGAGCAATTCCCATGTAGTGCGAGTGTTGATGCTAATGCTTTTATTTCGTGTGGATTGCATGCTGTAGGCAGCGGTAATCCTGCTGTTTTGTAGGCTCTCAAAATAACTGCTCTAATCCAAAAGGATATTGTGGTTCATGAGACCTCAATCGATGTAGCAGGTGATAATGGGATGAAGAGACGTTTAAACTTTCTCCTTCTTATCGTAGTTCGTTGTAAGTAGATTCTTAAAGCTCTTACTGGACATAAGGATAAATCCTCTCTGTCTTGATGTCCAAGGACTGACATCAGTGCTGGTACATGAAATTGACGATCTGGTTGACGAGGAAGTTGATTTTTTGCTATGAAATCCCATCTCAGTCCTAAATGGACTGCTGCATGCTCTCCTGTGTCGAACCTCGTTCGTGCGAAGTCAAGAGCATGTATTTCCAACATTCTAGCTGCTGTAGCTAAGGCAAGGAGAAATATCGTTTTTTGAGTGAATAACTCAAAAGTTGCGTCTTGTAAAGGCTCATAATCCTCACTTGTGAGATGTTGTAGCACTATATTGAGGTCCCATGCTGGAGCTCTAAATTTCCGTTGTTGATCCTCTAGTTTAAACGATCTCAATAATGCTACTAGTTCAGGAACTTTGGCGAGTTTAACTCCCGAGTTCATGGTAATCACAGAACTGATTGCTGCTAAGTATGTTGAAAGTGTTGATCCTTTCAAATGTTTGGTTGATCTGAGATGGCAGAGATATTCTGCAACTTGCGGATGTGTTGCTTCTGCTGCCGTGGATCGTTTGCTTGTAGCAAATTGATCAAAATTCCTCCATTTATCATCATACAGATTACGGGTTGAACGTCTTAAGGCCAGTGTAACTGCCTTAGCAGCTCTCGTGGAATAACCTCTTTTCTTCAAACAGTGCGTGATACGCTCCATATGTGTAGTCTGAGATTTGCAGGATTGCCATGCAGTTGTTTTGTGTGATGATGAATCAGTAGGTTTGGCCAATCTGGAAGTTTTGTATTCGCTCCCCTAATAAGCTTATTAGGTCTGGAAACCATGTTCTCGCTGGCCAGTAAGACGCGACCAAAATCAGTTGTAGGATTTTGGTCTGAGCAATCTTGTGTAGAACCTGTGGTAGTAGTATCGGTGGAGAAAATGCGTACGCATTTAGACCTTCCCATGATATGGTGAGGGCGTCTGTCGCCCATGCTTGTGGATCTGGTACGAGACAAACGTTACAATCTGATGATTGAATCGTGTTGCAAAGAGGTCTATGAGAGGGCAACCGTGTTCTCTCGTTATCAGTAGAAATGCTTCCGGGTGTAATTTCCATTCTGTAGGTGATGGTCTCATCGGTCTGGATAAGGCGTCTGCTAGGACGTTTTTCACTCCTGGAATGTGACAAGCTCTTATCCACAGATTGAAGTTGTCTACTACATTGAATAGTTGAAATGTTAGTCTTAGTAGAGGAGCTGACTTTGTTGATCCTTGTAGGTTTAAATAAAACGCTACTGTTAAGTTGTCTGTGTGTATCATGAGATAACTGCCTTGCATTCTAGTTGATTTATGTGTAATTTCTTTTCGATTGGTGACCAAACTCCTGAGGCTACTCTGTCGTTGAAGTGCGCACCCCATCCTTGTAGGGATGCATCTACATACAGATGTAGTCTGTATACCGGCTCTTTCAAATAAGTTCCGTTGCAAACGTTCAACTTGTTAATCCACCACATTAGGTATTCCTTCAAGTGTTGAGGAATGCTTATGGGTTGTAGATTTTCCAGATGTGGTGTTAAGAACCGCTGAATTGGACGTAGTTGTAACCTTCCTCTGTGAGTTAGGGATTGAGCTGACGTTAGGAGGCCCAATAATTTCTGCCACTCTCTTATCAAGGCGGTGTGTAGACATTTCTGTATATTCTCCCATCGTTCCTGTGGGAGTACAAAACTACAAAATCCAGATCTACCGGTGTATTCGTTGAACCAGTCAGGTTCGCGAAAGGTTGATTTATATCTCTCTGCTGATGCATTGAAACTCTCTGTTGTTGAGTGTTCGCGAACCCTCCACCCGACTGAGGGTTTGCGAACCCTACATTTTGATGTTGAGGGTTCGTGAACCCTCCATTTTGATGAGGATTCGCGTCAGATGAAAAATCTCTTTCTGTCTGTACTGCAACAGTTGTCTGATTTGATACACTTTTCGTAGTTCTCTTAGAAGTTAAATGATCAGTAGACGTAGTCTGTGATGTTTGAGACGATCTATTCTGATTGTCTGTAGAAGGGTTCATGAACCCTGATGTCGTAGAAGGGTTTATAACCCCTGACGATGTGCTGGGAGGGTAGTATTCGATGATCTACGCTGGGATGAATGTTTCTTCCTCGACAACAATGATGATTTTGACGTATGTTGTTGCGAACCTGAGTTCGCTAACTCTCTCGGAGTACTAGTAGATGTAGTCTGAGATGAAGTCAAGATGATCTGCGGTTCTAAAACCGGTGGTGATCTGTTGAGTCGAGATATGGCATTTTCAAATGTCATAGGTGTATCTGATGATCTAGTAGATATAGACCATGTAGATCTCGTATTTTTTGAGTTTGCAGACAATCTAGACGATCGTTTCTTCCTCGCTAGGCATTGTAGTTCAGTCTCCTCTGTCGTAGGTGATTTTTTCTTGGAAGTAGACTGCGTAGCTGTTGCTGAAAGCGTGACAGAAACGGGAGAAATCCCTGGGAAATTCTCCTTATTGTGTTGGGACATTTTAGTACCAGTTGTAAGAGAACTACCCCTTACCGCTGACTTGTTTACAAGATGTTGTTTATCTATAGTCCTGCGTAAGCAGGCTGATAAATATTTAGTAAATAATTGTGTTGATAAATTAATGCAATATTGGCACCGTGAATCAAAAGAACAAGTATGAAGGCAACAAGAGGAGCAAACAGGATGTGGATCGAACGCAGATAGTCTCAATCTGCATTGCTGACATGCCACCATTGAACAACACCTCACCTGCAACGAAGTGAAATACGTCACTTTAGTAGAATTTTACATAATAATATACATATGGATACAACTAATATGGATCTAAATACAATCTGCGGCCACAATTTATTATATAAGGCCGAAATGAAAGGATATCTGCCGCAAATAGGATCCGTAAGGACCGCCCGACCGTCGGCGAGGGCGATGAAGGAGAGAGTGATAAGAGCTAGTCTCAGGTCACGTGGGATGGGTTTTGGCGGAATAAGGGAGGTAACTCAGGGTGAGTGATTGTATGGACGCTTCAGTGAATTTGAATAGGATTCAAGGTTTCCACTTGACAGTCAAAGGAGAAGGGAGATAAGCAATAATCATGAGTCAGGATAAGGAAAAATAATTATTACTGTTACTGAATAACATCTCTACACTCAGCACATGTTACCATGGTTACCAGAGGAAATCATAATGCTGAGATAACTGAGAGCATTCACATAAAGCCCCAGTATTTCAATTCATGAACACTTTAAGTTTGTTCAGATGCTGTTCTTCCAATGCTAATACTTCCATACCTGTGACAGCAACTATGTTCATCAGTCTCCTCATACTTCGAGGATTGATGTCGCTGAAGTAGTCATTCTTCACCACCTGAGAGGAAAGGTCGAAGGATGACGTGTTGACCCCTCCTTGGGACCCGGTCAGACTCCCGAACTTGGCAGATTTGCTTCTCTTCCTGGGATACTTGGAAGACTCACTTGATGTGGACAAAATGGACTCCTGGTGCTGAAACAGACCCAACATTATGCAGCATGTGTTCACACCATGTCTGCTGAAAGGAGGCATAAGATTTACAATTAATGCACTTAAACAATAATGTGCCTGTAGATATGTGTGTTGCTGCCTCTGCTTGTCTGGACTCGATTTGATAGAGTTGGCCCCCTGAGATACCAAGCCAAAGTTAAACACAGATACCTACTCAGACACTAGCTACTCCTGCTAATGCAAGCTAACAACAAGTACCATCTTTGAACATAAGTATCACGTGGCCATGTGATCGTACCACTGACCTCTCACTCTCTAGGCACCATGGGGCTGGATTAGTGAGCCAAGAAAGTACATTGGATGATGTGCCCTGGATTGTGTCTTAGTTCAACAAAAAGTCATTACCATGGACTTACTTTGACCTACCAAGAACCTGGCTAGCTATTCTGGAAACGTTAATAGCGCTACAAACTTCTTAAGTCCATTCTTAACACACACACTGACTGACTGACTGACTGAGTTTGGTTTTACGCCGCTTTTAGCAATATTCCAGCAACATCACGGCGGGGGACACCAGAAATGGGCTTCACACATTGTACGAATGTGGGGATTCGAACCCGGGTCTATGGCGTGACGAGCCAACGCTTTAACCACTAGGCTACCCCGCTTTAACCACTGACTACAATCAAAGTTAAGAATTCTTAGGACTACGAACATTTCGAGAGAGGGCCCTGACACTTAGCCCTAAGTTTTCAGTAAGAATTCTAGGCTACCACTGTAGTCAAACGCTACCCACCTTGTACAGTTTGCCTGGTGACTCTGCTTGATTCTCTTGAGAAGAACTACTTGGCCCAACTGATTCCTGTCTCTGAACTCTCACACCCTGACTCTGAAGGTAAAACGGCAGGTGTACCACATTCCGCAGGTAATCAAACCCATTGACGTTGGTGTCCAGGAACGTTGACCTCAGATTCTGCTCAATGCCCTTGATGATGATATGTGGATCCACAGCCAGGATGGTGATGAACGGAGCATTGTCATCAGAGAACAGCGCTTTGACAATGTCGAGGACCTGTAGAACCTTATCCTGCTCACAGCTGTCCAGACCATCAACAATGACCACCAGACGGGTCTGCCGCTTGGTAAAGTTGTCCATGCAGTTGACCATGCGAGACATCAGGTCCACCTCCAGCTTCAGCTGCTGCATGAAGCCGTCCATCTTCAGTATCTCCAGCTACACAGAGAAAGTTATCATTTCTGATCCTAGAATTGAGTTTAAAGTTCTTGTCCTCGCATACCAGTGCCTTAGTGATGTTGCGCCATCCTATTTGTGTGAACTTGTGAGCCAGTATAATCCAACCAGAACTCTCAGATCCCAGTCCCAAATTCTGTGCACAGTGCCCAGATACAGACTAAAATGATTTGGATTCAGATCATTTGCCTACCAATCAGCTGTTCTATGGAATTCTCTGCCTGAAGATCTCAAAACAGCCCCAAGCCTGCACTCCTTCAAAACTCTCCTCAAAACGTTTTTATTTAAGAAGTACTTTGTCTAGACTCTCACCCAAATAACTTTACTTGTAGCGCCATGAGCATACCAGCTGGCGTGGAGATTGGCGCATTACAAATTCACTCATTATTATTATTATTATTATCCAGTAGTTGTTTGACTAGCATTCTAGGTGTTGGTAACTCAATAAGGTATGTATGCTTTCATTGTATTTGACAGATATATTCATCCATCTGTATCTGATTATGGTTATTGTGGTCATTTGTGCAATAAATCTTGTGAACACTATTGATATCTTACAATATAACTGATAATACTTAATTTTAAGTTGTTCTAACGTTATAGTTCAGTGAACACTGTTTTATGCTGCAGTCAGCAACATGCACAAAATGGCTGAGAGCATGGGCAATAATCAGAAACATCCAATTCAACAGCTGATCACATGAGACACACAATCAGCCATGCATTGTAATAACTTGCATGTTGGACCAGTACCAAATGATAACATTATATGGATGACCAGCTTCTTTATTACAGTGAGAGCAATGTTTCGGTGTAGCTTGATTAATGTGTTAGAACCTACACCGAAATGTCACTCTCAATTTCATAAAGAAGCTGTTTATCCATATATTGTTACTCTTCCTAAGTTATGACCAGCAGGAGTTGCTGAGGACCTATTCTGACCTGAAATTCCAACAGGGGCAACAAAAACAGAAGATCACAACGAAACATCCTTACATTATCAGCTGCTTTGAGGACCCGCTTCTTCTGGGAGATGAGCAGGGCCATCGTAGCCTGGGCAATGGTGTAGATGTTGCTGATGAGGGTGAGCCCAATGATTGACACAATCGAAATGAGAACAGCATTGACAGCTGTGTTGTTGGAGATCTTGTAGACAACAATCATTGCTATACCCACTGCCACCACCAGCAGGAAGATGATGACAAAGATGAAGTTTGGGATACAACAGATGGACTTGAACCTGCCCTTGGAAGCTGCACAGGACAGAGTTTGTGTGAACTTTAGAAATAAAAATGTCTGTTATGTGTTATTCGATTAATGACCCCATCTGCAACTAGTCATAACGACACAATGATCAGATGCTACATTTTTGCATAAAATCAAAACAATGGAAAATGGCTTGAAATAGCCTAGCACTCAGCATAACCAGGAATCTTAGATGTATTAGATCTGAGAAATACTTTTAACAATGGCATGTATTGATAGTCAAAAGTACTTTTGGAAAGATGTCAGTCCATCTTCTCAGGTTCACTCTTTGATTAATGCAATGTTTCCACAACTCGCATTTGCAGTGAGTAATTATGTAATTATTATGACAATCAAAAAATCAAATCCATATAACCATCACGTGCAAGTAACTAAAGACTCAGAATGGGTGACTATGAGTAATTCACTTACGATCAGTCCGAGGTTTGAAGACACGGAAAAGTCGGGCCACCAGGATACCATACTCGTTCTCTACAGCCTCACACAGAGTTGCTATCATGGCCGCCAGGGACTTCTCTCCTCCCACACTTGTCAGTCGGGTGCATTCCGAAAACAGAAACCTGTGTGATGGAAGAAAATTGATCATTTAGCAAAGAGTTCCCCATACAGTGCTTACATTAACCCACAAGGTACAGACACATAAAGATCTAGGTTAGAATTGGTCTTCAGCACCCCATGCTTGTCTAAAGAGGCAACTTACAAGATTAGGTGGTCAGACTCACTAACTTGGTTGATGCACGTCATTGTATCATAAGGGACCATTCATTAGTTATGGTAAGGGGGTTGTGATTTTTATGGAGAAGCATGCACAATGTGAATGACTCCCCCTAAAATTTATGTACAAAGTAAGTGACCCCCACCCCATGCATGTCATGTACAAAATCAATGACCCTCCCCCTCCCATAATTATTAAGCATAATTTTTAAAGTACAAAATTACTGACACCCCCCTTGTACACTTGTACAAAATTTATGACATCACACCCCCCAGAACAAAATGGGTGCTCACCCCTAAAATCCTCATCACTCCCCCTGGTCATAAATTATGAATGGTCCCTCATTATGTCGTTTTCTGCTCATGATGTCAATCACTGAATTGCCTGGTCCAGACTTGATTATTTACAGACTGTCATCATATAGCTGCAGCATTAAACAAACAAACAAACAAATAAAAGGTAAAGCCATCAATTTAACCTGACAGAGTAGACAGAGGCAGCCATCTTGTCCGTGGAGGAGCGTCTCTTTTGGTTACAGAACAGCATCTTAATCAGCAGCGTGATGAGGTGCTGCTTCTCCCCCAGGGCCTGACTCAGACTTACAGCAAGGTTCATGTCGTACCTCTGGGCACAGATGTTCAAGATACCTGAGGGACAAAATACACACTTTTCATGACTATCATACTCTGAAGGGTTAGGGAAACTGTGCTTCTTATATGTCCTCCACCATCACAGGCTTTACAGTAGGTAATTATAATGTGGCTGCAGTGGTCCTTAGAAATACAAGGCTGGAAAAAATATAAACAAGAAGACAGTGTCATGGCCCACCTGAATATGCAGGTAGCAGTTTAAATTGTCAGACATTGAACAAAGCTTTCAGAGAAGTTTGTAGAGGCAAATATGCATTTTGAGAGAACTGAAAGGTCAAAGCAAGGCCAAAATTTAAAAAAAAAGTAAAGGGTCCAACATAACTTATGTGCTGAGACCCATTAGCTACTACAGAGATCAGGTTTAGATAAGTGCAGGTGCATCTTTCCGCAGCACATTTTGAGATTTCACAGACAACAGAGACCATGCTGATGAAGATATTCAGCAGCACTCACCCAGAAATCCATACTCCAGTGGGAAGAGTCCAAGCCCCACTCCAAGGCCAACCTCGAACCTCACTGCCAGACCTAACACTTCCCCAATGGTGGCGTTGATCAGGAACAGTATGATGAATAAAACCCAGTTGAATGTGAAAGGCTCCTGGACATTCTGCATCGTGAATGACTTCATCTCACCTAAAAATAGTTAAATCATGTGGAGAACTGTTTTCATTCTGAAAATTCTGGAAGGTTAGTGATAAACATGACAAAAGTGATGGTTAAAAACAAAGAAAATTAAAAAACAAAACAACGTAAGATAACAAACTGACCAAATACTTAGAAAATATCTCCTGGTGCTTTGTTTCAATGCTACCTAAAACAAGATTTTGATCAGCACACCATTTTGAATTGCAATCAAATACTGCACAAAAATTTGAAAATTTTAACTATAAATTGTATATTTATATACTTATCCTATCTCATGGTATGCACTTCTCTCTCTTGATTCGACACTGAGTGGAACGATGTAACTTTTTTTTTCCCTAGGCCTCTCTTGTCCATCCGCCCAAGCACTCCATGCTACCCTCATTATAAGACAGCTTCCTAGCTCTCATGCAAGGCATGCGGCATGTTACACTAGCTGCCCACATGACTATCTCTGAATCATCATTCTCATTCTTGGAGCCACTGGATAATATCCCACTTGGAGAATCTGCATAGCGGGGAGGATGGGCAGGAATCCGTCGCGGGCGATACGATAAGTATATAAATATACAATTTATATTTAAAATTTCCAAATTTTTAAACTTATCCTATCTCACAGTATGCACTTATCCCAAGATCGGACGGCAGGACGCAGATACCCTATGTCTTGACAGTGCGAACAGTAGAACTGTGTACACTGGAAACAACCGTAGATAGCAATGCACAAGGGAGGCCTGTTACGACTAGTGCAACTCCTATGCTTGTGACGAGTTCCCCTGAACTCCTTGGCTTACTAAGCACAACGGCTCCCAGGGAGATGGGTGCTCCGAGCGATGTGGTGTTCGGCCGCAACCTCTGAAGAAGGACGCAGCTCAGCGAGAAAGTATGTCACTTTGCCACAATTTTCAAGGTACCCCCATAAATTAAAGTCATAGACAATAATCGGGCCAGCCCCTGCTTTGAGAAGACCCCCACAGACACCGACCAGAGGCGGGTGAAAGAGAAGCACAACTCGGAAAACTCGCAGTTTGAACGTTCAGTTCCAGTCAACATCAAATTGACCCTCACTCCTTTACATAAGCTTAGTCAAAGGATGAGCCTGGCAACTTCGGAGTTTCCACGGGAATTCGGGAGTGACACATTTCACTGACGTAATTGCTTCGAAAAGTAGAGGTCAGGAAATGTGAAATGTCAAACCATTCCACATCGTGATACAGAATCGTGCTCCAGATTCGTCCAACCACGGTAGTATCTCCGTGTCTTAGTATAAAATCAGACAATCAGTTCAGACTTATATTCCGGAAAATACAGGGAAGCAGCAACCGCATGGGACTGTCTCCTATCTGCGTCGTTAGGCCGTAGACAGCTGTTGTGCGAGAACAAGGGGTCCAAACTGGCACAGGCCGTGGACGTCCTTGACTGAGAGGTCCCGAAGGTAGTGGGAGGAGAAGACAGAGTCAGATCGCCAAAAGCATACTTCCATAATGGCATGGAGAGAACAGTTACTATGCAGAGCCATAGTAGACGCTAACGCCCGTGTCTCATGTGGATTGGAAGCTGTCGGGGGCAAAGGTGTAAGCCCGTAGGATGGTGGCCCTCATCCAGAAAGACAATGTGGTGCGAGACACTTCCGTCCTGGATGTTGAGGACAACAGTATGAAGAGACGATTGCGGAGATGGCGGCGATCATTAGCAGCAGCAAGGAAAATCTTCAAAGCTCTAACAGGGCAAAGCTGCAGGTCTTCATTGTCATGCGGCCCAAGGATCGTGGACAACGGTGGGATGGTAAAGGTACGATCAGGTTGTCTGATTCTTCGCTACGAAATCCCAACGGAGTCCGAGGAAGACTTTGCCATGCTTCTTCTGTTCGAACTGGACTCTGTTAACATCCAAAGCATGGAGTTCAGAAATCCGAGCAGCTGTAGCCAAAGCCACAAGGAAGAAAGTCTTCAAGGAGATCTTCTCAAAGTCCTTGTGAGCTAGGGGTTCATAGTCCGTCAAGGCCAAATGACGCAGCACCACACATAAATCCCATGCAGGTCTAAATTTCGTCAATTTCGTAGACTGATCAGCCAACTTGAAGGACCGGAGCAAATACTGAAGCTCAGGAACCGTAGAAACTTTAGAGCCTGTGGTGGTAGCCAGGACCGAGTTGATTGCAGCAAGGTTAGTGACTGAAGTGGAACCTTAAGCTTCTTAAATGACCATAAATACTGCAGGAATTCAGCGACGATTTGAGGTGACGTAGAAATTGGAGATGTAATGCCTCTGGACTTGCAATATCCCACAAAAAACTTCCACTTCTCATCATAAAATGAGCGGGTGGAAGTCCGGTGAGCAGAAGTGATGGCCATAGCCACTCTCCGTGAATACCCCTTGGCGATTAAGGACTTCTGCAGATGCGCCAAATGTGCAGAGACATGGTGCGAAGAGATACATGCCGTCAATCCGAGTGAGGTTGTAACAGAAGGGTCGTCACGAATGGGAAGAAGAACTGGGTTTAGGTCTGTGAGCTCTGCGAGATCGACACACCAACTCCTGACTGGCCAGTAAGGCGCGACTAAAAGGAAGAACCGAAACGCCAGCTGAAGAAGGTTCGCCGAACCCGTCCACCCGAGATGGTTGATATACCAGACGACGGTTGATGTACCAATGCCGAAAGGCGAGAAGAACCACCAAGAACTCGAGTTTGTTGATGTGCAATCCCTGTTCTGCGGACGACCACAGCCCGGACGTCTGATGATGAAGAAAGTGAGCCCCCCCAACTTTGAGCGACGCGTCGACGAACAAGTGGTGTGTTGGAATGAACGGCAATCAAACAAACTCCGGCGCAAACTTTCTGTTCTACAAGCCACCACTGAAGAAGAGGATGTAAGGGTTCGAGAAGACGAATCAACTCCTTGGGATTCTCTGAGACGAGATATGGCCGTAGGAAGCGTTGCAACGGACGTAGTTGCAATTGTCCCTGTTGTGTCAATGCCTGTGCCGATGTCAAGAGGCCCAAAAGTTCCTGCCACTGCCATAAGGTCCTGGCCTGCGACAGTGCTAACAGAACTAGATGTTGAATTTTCAGCCATCTGTCTTAGGGAATGAAAATCAGGCCCTGATGTGTGTCGAAAGTTGCCCCGATGAATTGAAGGGACTGGGTCGGTGTTAGTTTAACAGCCAACCTGGCTGCTTGAGAAGTTTCATACTGAACTCCAACTGATGTAGAAGAACGACTGGGTCTCTCTGTGCCTGAATGCAGTCGTGCCTTTTGAACACGACCCCGAGGAAATGAAGAAACATGGTGATCGGCTTGGTGATCCTTGTAAGTAGCCACGGGGACGTAGAAATTCCAAAAGGCAGGACGGTCCATTGATAATGGATCCCTCGGAACACGAACTGGAGGAATTTCCGAGAAGCTGGATGAATGGGTGCATGAAGATATGCAGGTCTAGGCTGACAAGAAAATCCCCTTTCTTCAGGATGCTGCGAAGGAAGATGATCAATACCCTCCTGAAGTGAGGCGGCCGCTGGAGACTGGACTGCACATTTTGCTATGAGCGTACCTATGGTGGAGCGAAGAAACTGGATCTGGTCCACCGGGTAACTGTTATGTACCGGATGCACTGTCAGAGGCGGATGTCCGATGACTGGAAGTTGATAGCCTTTGGAGAGGAGGTCGGTCACAAAGGGATCGTCAAGGATGGTCCAATTATAGAAGAATAATAGGAGACTGGTCCAAATGACTCGGTGAAAGCGGCGTCCGTGCTGAGGAGACATGGCTTTAGTTCCAACAAAGTTCGGGGAAGTACTCAAAGACAGATGATCCGGAGAAGGGCGTTCCGCAGTAAAACTGGTTCGAGGAAAGCCGTTGTGGTGAAAGTCGATTCACCACATGCCGTTTTGGTGAAGTCTGATGCAAAGTATGCTGTTTCGGCGAACATTGTTTCAACGAAATCCATTTCGGTAAAACCTGTTTGGAAGACGACCGGTGAATTTTGAGTAGACTGCCGTTTTGATGAAGACCGGTTCAGCGAGAGCTGTTTCATAGAGAGCCGGTCGGGCGAAAACTGTTTCGACGAAAGCTGTTTCGGCGAAGGTAGATGTTCTGGTAAAAGTCGAGGTGGTGGGGTGCGGACAGGCGAAGCGTGATCCGGTGAACTGTGATTCAACGAACTGGCAGGCTTTGGCGAAGTGGAAGACCGAGGTAGCTGGCCGCAGGAGACAACACTTCTATTCACCGAAAGGGAAGTAGACGGCGAAGCAACCACTAGCAACCGTTTAGGCAAGGTAGACCAATTCCTGTCACTGCTGGACGAACGACGAGAGCGAGAACGGCTACGGCGAATGCGATCTGGACAGTAAGGCGTAGAACCAACTGATTCTTGTCCGAAACAGATAATACAGGCTGCCTTGATAACTGGTCCAGGGAGTGAGACACAGATAGCGTAGTACGAAGATTCCGCTGTACAGAAGTATCCTGGGGGTGGTAGTGGTAGCTTCGACAACCACTACCCGGTGGTTGGTCAAAAACTCGGCTGAAGAGCCAAGCAGTTTCCGAAGGTCTTCCGATAAATAAAAGTCTGACGACGCTCTCATAAAATCTTCTTAATTCGAGGGAGGGGACTGTGACCGACGAGCAGATAAAGTAGGACGCCTAAACTTGCCTTTCTTGGTGGGACTAGGTCCGTCTAGCGAAGCTGCATAACGGGCTCTGTCAGCAACACGTCGAGCGCAAGCCCTAGTGTAATCACCAAAAGCATAGAAGGTAAGATCCTTGCATTTCTCGCAACAAGTTTCCCATTTACATTGTCCCACACAATCAACACATAACGCATGTGGATCACACGCAGAGAACACCTTATTACCCTGTGAACATTTCTTCCTCTTTTTAGGCTGGTCAGCCTTCCCCATGTTGTAGACTAAAGTTGAAAACGTTGAGTAAAGCAAAACACGTTCACACTCATGTGTGATGATTCAGAGATAGTCACGTGGGTAGCTTGTGGAGCATGCCACATGTTTTGCATGACAACTAGGAAGCTGTCTTATAATGAGGGTAGCATGGAGTGCTTGGGCGGATGGACAAGAGAGGCCTAGCGAGAAAAAAAGTTACATCATTCCACTCAGTGTTGAATCAAGAGAGAGAAGTGCATACCGTGAGATAGGATAAGTTTAAAATTTTTGTTTCTTTTATTGTATTCAAAGAAGGCATATTCAAAACAAAAGCTTTCGCATCTGTCCAACACAAGGTAATTTCCTATCCTCTCATCAGTGTCATATACTCTTATCGATAATGTATCACAACACTAACAAGTCTATACAGTATCGTAACATCAGTACTCAGAGTTTGAAATAGCCACTGGCCCGCTAGCCCGTGGCTAGTAAAAATCCACTCGGGCCAGTAAATCTCCACACTCACTGGCCCGAATGGCTAGTGAATTTTCAAGGGGTCATTTTGTAAATACATGTATATCACTCTCTCTGACTTATTAAGTTATAATACACTTTCAAATCATGAAAGATTATGGCCCGATAAAAATGTTCATCATATTAGCAGCCTAATGATAAACCCGAGTATACATTCAAATTTCGGGCCAGTTAATAATTTTGTGGGCTAGTAACTTTCAGGCATAGCTAGCCCGTCTGGCTAGCAAAATTTGGAAACTATTTCGCACACTGACAGTACTGCCACTATGGTTACCTCTCAGCCTGCCAAGAAGGAAGGACTTGCCGCTGCCCCACTTGGCGTACAGGCCGGCGGTGATGGGGGTGACAAGCCCTGGCTCACTGAGGATGTCGGCCAGGGCGCTGCTGTAGATCTCATAACCCAACAGATTCTCAGCATCAGTGGCATTCAGATTCCCTGAAACAAGCAGATTCACACTGAAACGTTAACCTTCTGTTGGAGTAATCTATAATCATTTCTGAATACTGATGTAATTCCAATTAATGCATATCAATCACTGAAGAACAATCTGTTTTAAAATCTAGGGAAGCCTTTTCAAAATATTGTGAAAGAAATTACGAAATTCCCACAATCAAACAAAAGTCAGATAGCTCTGATACATTATCTCTGTGCATGAAGGTCTCCTCAATCCCCGAGATCAGGTAGTGCCGAGTGAAGCCTGAACACATCTACAGTTGCATCTACTCTTTTGCAAGTGGATCCCACATCCAAATCTACAGTGTAGTGTATATGCTTCAGCAAAATCACTGTGTTGGCAAGGAAAGGTATATTCGTTTTTTGAATTGCATGAGTAATGTTTGTCTTACTCTGTCCCAAGATCTGGGTAAGGATGCCTCGTTGGTGGTAGGTGTCCATGTTGTATGGTGTCTCCCCGGACTTGTTGGCCCGGTACAGGAGGCGGCCATTACGGGGATTCCGCAGAAGGAGCTCAGTGATACGCTTGCTCCTTGCACGGATGGCAATGTGCAGAGCTGTGTCACCTCTCTGAGAAACATACAAATGTATTAGTGTCAACAAGTGATTCTCACATACATATATAGAGTTACCAAGTTAAAATTTACTGTCACATTGCAGTGTATAAAATAGTTTTGAAATGTGGCCTGTCCAAGGACTGGCTGTCCAAAAAAGTGACCAATCCTGAACAAACACAGCCAGTACCCAAAACTAAAACAATAAAAAATCCACAAATGTTGTTTTCATCACGATATTTAAGACAAAATTCAAACCAAGTTAAGTTTACTTTTTCAAATATTTCCCCCGACCAAAGGACAGCCTTACTTATCTAATAGATAGTCCTTCACAAAATTGGAAATATATTTATATACTTATCCTATCTCACGGTATGCACTTCTCTCTTTTGATTCGACACTGAGTAGAACGATGTAAACATTTTTCCCTAGGCCTCTCTTGTCCATCCGCCCAAGCACTCCATGCTACCCTCATTATAAGACAGCTTCCTAGTTGTCATGCAAAGCATGCGGCATGCACCACTAGCTGCCCACGTGACTATCTCCGAATCATCATTCTCATTCTTGGAGCCACTGGAATATCAATGTTGGAGAATCTGCATAGAACCAGAAAGATGGGGGAATAGAATCCCACAGTGCTGGGTGCCGGATCGAGAGACTGGACTGCACATTTCTCTACGAGCTTACCTATGGTGGAGTGAAGAACCTGGACCTGGTCCGCCGGGTAGCTGCAGTGTACCGGATGAACTGTCAGCATCGGGCGTCCCATGACTGGAAGTTGATAGCCTGTGGCAAGGAGGTCGGTCACGAAAGGATCGTCTAGTATGGTCCAGTTGGGAGCGAACCTCCCTAGTCTCCCGCCCACTGGAGAGTTGTAAATGGGGGCGGCTGGAAGCGGGAGTTCCCAGTCGTGCCCTTGTTTCGACGAGTCACTACTTGGGGGCCCCGCTCCCAACCCTGGGGTCGGACTTGGGAGGACGTCAGGAAGAAGTGCCACGGGAGGATCTGCTACCTCTAGCTTGGGACGAATGGCCACGAAAACCCTGATGCAGTTCCTGATGAGACGGCACAAACCGTGTAGGCCTTCCCTGTATCATGGAAACTTGCAGATGAGATTTCTGGAGTTTCAATAATTCCACAGAAACTTGAAATTGAGTGTCCCGATCCACCTTCGCCGAAACTTCCCCAATCATCCCATTAAACAAGGATTCAACAGACCACGGTTGACGGAAGAGTTCAGCCTTAAACCTATCATCCCATGAAGACAAATTGAGTGGCCAGGAGACATTGAACTGCCAGGAGATAGCCAAGGAAATGAGACTGCTGGTCAAGTACAATCTGAAATTGGTCCCGTATAAGGGACATGCAGCCTCTGATGTAAGTATCCTAATCGGTGAAAGAGTGCTCCTCTGATGCCCGCAACCGCTTCCACCGCCAGATGATGCAATTGATCGAGGGTAAGTAGCTAGGAATAGCTGTGTCCATGTGAGACAGTTTTCTGTCATCAACTAGAAAGGCTGAACAAGTCCTCTTCCCGCAAAGGGGCAGTAGCCAAGGACTGGAAACCATGGGAGTGAGCCGCTGGTAGCGAAAATCTAGGCGAAGACAGGCCCTCTTGGGAATCCACAACCGAATGTGCTGGAGACGTAGGATCAGATGGAACACCAGGACTAGGCGCAGTAACAGATGGTCTGAGGGGAGGAGCATTCCCCGTAGAGTGAGCAGCCTGTTGTTGATTCCAAGCAGTAGTAAGATCACTTAACATCGCAGCCAGATCTGGGGGGAGGGAGTAGTTTCCTGCGCAGGAGTCAAGGAATCTGGTACAATCCGAGTAGAGAGACGCGAGGAGGCAGGAGTCCCGTCAGAAGTCATAGCACGCTGAGATTGAAGCTTGGAAACCCATTGATTAGATCGACGATCCGTAGAACCATATCTATGTCTGGAGGGGGACGAACTGGGAGAGGATGCACAAATGGAGAGCCGCTGAGGAGAACGGGAGCGAGGAGGGGAGATATCGCAACGATAACGGCGATCCCTGGATCTTGAATGATAGGCAGCAGTCAACCGTGTAGGAGATCTAGGTTGACGGGTCGAGTGCACAGAACAGGAAGTCCCATGATGACGAGAAGACAAAGTCCGTGGAGGTGACTTGGAACGAAGAACCGATCTCAACGAAGCAGAGGGAGGCTTGAGCTTAGTTGAATGCGGGTTCTGTGACAGAGGGAGACGGAGTTTCTCCACTATCCAGACTAAGACTTGGAATCCACATCCGAATGTGCCGGAGACGGAGGATCAGGTGGAAAAACAGGACTGGGCGCCGCAACAGGTGGTCTAAGGGGAGGAGCACTTCTCGTCGATTGAGCAGACTATCGCTGATTCCATCGCAGACAGATCTGGGGGAGGAGTAGTTTCCTGTGCAGGGGTCCAGGAATCAGGTACAATCTGAGTAGAGAGATGCAAGGAGGCAGGAGCCCCGTCAGAAGTCGTAGTACCCTAAGATCTATAATCGGAGCCCCGTTGAGATGATCTCCTATGTGTAGAACCATATCTATGTCTGGAGGGGGACGAACCGGGAGAGGACGCACATATGGAGACCCACCGAGGAGATCAGGAGCGAGGAGGGGAGGTATCCTAACGAGAACGATGATCCCTGGATCTTGAACGATAGGCAGAAGTCGATCATGTAGGAGATCTAGGTTGACGGGTCGAGTGCGCAGAACTGGAAGTCCCATGACGAGAAGACGAAGCGGAGAACTGATCTCAACGAAGTAGTTGAAGGCGTGTGTTCAGTTGAATGCGAATGAGTCGAAGAGTGACATCTCGGTGGTGAACTAGACCTACCAGGTCTATTCGGTGAACAAATCCGAAGAATAATAGGAGACTGGTCCAAATGACTCGGTGAAAGCCGCGTCCGTGCTGAGGAGACGTGACTGTAGGATCCAACAGAGTTCGGTGAAGTACTCAGATGATCCGGAGAGATGCATTCCGCTGAATACCGCTTGGAAGAAGGTCGTTTCGGCGAAGGTCGATTCACCACATGCCGTCTTGGTAAAGTATTCCGTTTCACCAAACGTTGTTTCGATGAAGTACTATTAGGTGAAGTCTGTTTCGTATAGAGCCGGTCTAATTCTGGGGAAGGTGGACAGTCCGGCAAAAGTCGAGGTGGAGGGGAGCGGACAGGCGAAGCGTGATCCGGCGAACTGTGATTCGGCAGGCTTCGGCGAAGCAGAAGATCGAGGTAGTTGGACGCAAGAAACACTTCTTTTCGCCGAATGGGAAGGAAATGTGTAAGTAACCACTGACAGGCGTTGAGGCGAGGTAGACTGGTTCCTCTCACTACTGGATGAACGACGAGAGCGAGAACTGCTTCTGCGCAGTCAGACGTAGAGATCAGCTGATTCTTGTCCGAAACAGATAAGCCAGGTTGCCGAGATAACTGGTCCGGAGAACGAGAGACAGAGAGTGTAGTTCGAAGGTCTCGCTGTGTAGAGGTATCCTGAGGGGTGGTAGCAGTCTCAACAACCACCACCCGGGACGTGGTTCGAAGACGAAGAACTCGGGCTAGAATGTTGAGAGCCCAACAAATTCCGAATGTCTTCCGATAAGTAAGAATCTGACGACGCTCTCATGAAATCCTCTTCATTCAAGGGAGGGGACTGTGACTGCCGAGCAAACGCTTAAACTTTCCTTTCTTGGAGGGACTGGGTCTATTAAGTGAAGCAGCATAAAGAGCCCTGTCAGCAACACGATGAGCACATGCCCGAGTGTAGTCACCAAATGCCTCGAAGGTAAGATCCTTGCATTTATCACAACGAGAGTCCCATTTACACTGTCTCCTACAGTCAACACAAGATGCATGTGGATCACTCGCGGAGAACACTTTATTACATCGGGAGCATTTTTTCCTCTTTTTTTGGCTGGTCAACTTTCCCCATGTTGTAGACTAAGCTGAAAATGTTCACACTAAAGTGCGACAAGAAAGAGAATGATGATTCGGAGATAGTCACGTGGGTAGCTAGTGGTGCATGCCGCATGCTTTGCATGACAACTAGGAAGCTGTCTCATAATGAGGGTAGCATGGGGTGCTTGGGTGGATGGACAAGAGAGGCCAAGGGAAAAATGTTTACATCGTTCCACTCAGTGTCAAATCAAAAGAGAGAAGTGCACACCGTTTAAAAATATAGACAGTCAAGGACAGTGGAATGGGCTATATTTTTTACACTGCACATAGCCAGTAATTAAGCCATATCGTGACCATATTAATATAGAACACCAATCATTACCAACAATATGATAACATCTACTGTACCTTGTCAGTGGCCGACACCTTAGATCCCTTATTCAGAAGTAGCTTGACAATCTCTTCATTCCGGTTACGGACAGCTCTCAATAGTGGGGTATCTCCATCCTGAAACAATTCAAGCTCTCCAGTACTATCATTATATTCTCATATCTGTACAACAGTTATGTCACTTGTACTGCCACAAATATGGCCCCCAGTTTCATTTTCAGGAGAATTAATAGTAATTATATGGACAATTGTTTGCGAAGTTTACGCGACCGAACAGAGTAAACTACAGACTACACTATCTCTACATAATATTAACATTTAGAACTAATACTGTCATATAATATTTATTTCTGACTATATGACACTTCTTACAATTCTTTTAAATCAGATTTTCAAACATGTAATGAACAGATGTTCATGAAACAGGAGCGATTCTCTTAGGGAATTATTGATTTGAATTGAACATTTTTCTTGCAAAATATAAAAGATTGTAGTGACAATAACAACAGTAAGGCATATCTCCTTGTATGACCCTGACCTTTGTGCTGATCTCCAGGTCAGGCTGACTCTCCAGGAGCTGATTGACAATGTCAGTGTGACCTTTCTCCACTGACCAGTACAGTGCTGTCTTCCCCTCCTGTCACACACACAGATGAATGCATGAACACACACTGAAAAGGCTAATGTACTAATCATAATCCAGTGTTGTAATTTATGAATTCCAGCCATCAGAAACAAAACGAATACAGATCACAAATACTGGTAGTTCTCTGATGTTTAAATGGTTCAAGTTCACAAGAAAGTGTGGTTATATTTCAAGTGTTCACAATGTATCTAAGAACTGGACATCAAGTTGGACAAGTTAAAGTTAATTACTTTATAGTTGATGGAAGTGGCAGTAGATCTGATTTATAATGAAATTATCAAAATCTTGTGTTTTATGCCTAATTGGGCTAATAGATAACCTAGCTCTGCCTAAACGGTGAGTGACAGTGTTCAACTTACCGATCCTTCGACATCAACGTCAGCATACTTCTGCAGCAGAATGCGCACCACCTCCGAGTGACCCCCCTTGACAGCGTGGATGAGCACCGTGTCTCCAGCCTACACACACAGATCACACTAACACTGGCAGCACACACACACACACAGAGTTAAAACAGTACCACTTGTAGCACACACAAATGCACACACACTTCACATTGTAACCTTGGCAGCACACACACACAGAGAGTTAAAACAGTACCACTCGTAGCACACACAAATGCACACACAGATCACACTGTAACACTGGCAGCACACTCACACACACACACAGAGTTAAAACAGTACCACTTGTAGCACACACAAATGCACACACACTTCACATTGTAACCTTGGCAGCACACACACACACACAGAGAGTTAAAACAGTACCACTCGTAGCACACACAAATGCACACACAGATCACACTGTAACATTGGCAGCACACACACACATACACAGTTAAAACAGTACGACTTGTAGCACACACAGATCATACTGTAACATTGGCAGCACACACACAGAGTTAAAACAGTACCACTTGTAGCACACACAAATGCACAGACAGATCACACTGTAACATTGGCAGCACACACACAGAGTTAAAACAGTACCACTGTAGCAGCACACACAAATGCAGACAGATCACACTGTAACACTGGCAGCACACACTCACACATACACAGTTAAAACAGTACCACTTGTAGCACACACAAATGCACAGACAGATCACACTGTAACACTGGCAGCACACTCACACATACACAGTTAAAACAGTACCACTTGTAGCACACACAAATGCACAGACAGATCACACTGTAACACTGGCAGCACACTCACACATACACAGTTAAAACAGTACCACTTGTAGCACACACAAATGCACAGACAGATCACACTGTAACATTGGCAGCACACACACAGAGTTAAAACAGTACCACTTGTAGCACACACAAATGCACACACAGATCACACTGTAACATTGGCAGCACACACACAAAGTTAAAACAGTACCACTTGTAGCACACACAAATGCACAGACAGATCACACTGTAACATTGGCAGAGCACACATACACAGTTAAAACAGTACCACTTGTAGCACACACAAATGCACAGACAGATCACACTGTAACATTGGCAGCACACACACACAGAGAGTTAAAACAGTACCACTTGTAGCACACACAAATGCACAGACAGATCACACTGTAACACTGGCAGCACACTCACACATACACAGTTAAAACAGTACCACTTGTAGCACACACAAATGCACAGACAGATCACACTGTAACACTGGCAGCACACTCACACATACACAGTTAAAACAGTACCACTTGTAGCACACACAAATGCACACACAGTTCACACTGTAACATTGGCAGCATCGACACACACAGTATAAAACAGTACCACTTGTAGCACACACAGTTCACATTGTAACATTGGCAGCACACACATACAGAGTTAAAACAGTACCACTTGTAGCACACACAAATGCACACACAGATCACACTGTTACATTGGCAGCACACACATACACACAGAGTTAAAACAGTACCACTTGTAGCACACACAAATCACACTGTAACACTGGCAGCATGCACACGCGGGCACACACACAGAGCTAAAACAGTACCACTTGTAGCACACACAAATGCACACACAGATCACACTGTTACATTGGCAGCACACACATACACACAGAGTTAAAACAGAACACTTGTAGCACACACAGATCACACTGTAACACTGGCAGCATGCACACGCGAGCACACACACAGAGCTAAAACAGTACGACTTGTAGCACACACAAATGCACACACAGTTCATATTGTAACATTGGCAGAAGACACACAGTCCCCACTGTAACATTGGCAGCATGCACTCGCACACACTCTCACGCATGCACACACACACACACAGTTAAAACAGTACCACTTGTAGCACATGTACAAATGCAAACACAGTTCACATTGTAACACTGGCAGCATACACACACGCATGCACACAGTTCACACTGTAGCACGGGCACAACATGTATACACGCAGTTCACACTATAACATTTGCAACACACACAGTTGGTATCACAGGGGCTTGTAACGCTAAAAACTGCCATCAAGGTATGTACTGTCACTGACGGGGTCTTAGCACTATATAAAAGGAAAGGGATGTAACGAGGTCAACACACCAAGTTCGTTTCAGGGCGAGTTCAACAATGCTCACTGTATCTGTCCCATATAAAGTATGCACACATTTCAAGCTAATAGATTTACCTACAATATAAGACATAGAGCACAAAAATCGAAGCAGTAATTTGGGAGCTAGGGTCTTCGGAAGCTCAGTGTGGGGCAGGTTAGGGTCAAGGTCGTCAATGGCGAACAGGCACGACTAAATTCTGTTTGCGATGAATAAATGTACGTAAAACTCATTATGACAGTGAGGTGTAAGTGTCTCTGAAAAAATGGCGACTAGCGCGCTGACAGGTGCCATCAGTTCAACATGTTTTGATGCATGTCGTTTGCGTATGCTGTGAAATAAACAAGAAAATGGGTGAGTTACTGCTAAGAATTCTGAGCAGGGATTTTGGCTCGAATCGAGAAATCACAATATTTCGAGCTTCAGAAGACCCTAGCTCCCAAATTACTGCTTTGATTTTTGTGCTCTATGTCTATTTTGTAGGTAAATCTATTAGCTTGAAATGTGTGCATACTTTAAATGGGATAAATACAGTGAGCATTGTTGAATTCGCCCTGAAACGAACTTGGTGTGTTGACCTCGTTACATCCCTTTCCTTTTATATAGTGCTAAGACCCCGTTAGTGACAGTACATACCTTGATGGCAGTTTTTAGCGTTGGAATAATACACTAAATTAACATAGATCTGTCGCGACACACGACACAATTATAAGATCAGTAAACACCCTAGAAATGTGCAATGTTTAGTAATAGGCTAGAAATAAACAATGCTTAATAACACCCTAGAAATGTGCAATGTTAGGAGAAGAGAAAAACAAGTGTGACATTGTTTGGCTTGTATGGGAAATTACAATTTTATTTGTTTCAATTTCCATGTTTTCACAATTGTATTTGGTATCAGATACAAAAAGGTTCTAATCAATATTTATCAGATTCAGTAAACTAATATATGGCATAAAGCATGTAATAGTATGTATCAATTATACAACAAGACAATAATTACCCGATCTGCTACATTCACATAGGCTCCCTTCGTCATGAGATCATGTACGATATCCACAAACCCCTCCTTGGCAGCAATAGCCAGAGCTGTGAGAGCATCCTGAAATCATGTCGGTATGGTAGTTACCTCCCTTTATGTGTCACAACCGCTCAATAAGTTATGTCACTTTGGTAAGTCATGGTAATTTCTTGTCATTACATGACAAAGTGGTCCCCAAATTGGCCCTTCACCCTAAACTTTAGCTAAACCTGTAGAGGTTTCCAGTTCTTTGAAGAGAATCTTCCTTGGGGTACATATATGCATTTTCTGCAACTGAAAATGTCACGTGACAGTTGTAACAATGTTTTAAAAAAAGATTGTACAATAAATACATGTAAAAAAGCCTTTTTATTTACTTTAATTTGCTCCCCACCACGTGGAGTTACCTTCCCACCACGCATGCGTGGTCAACCAGGTAAGCAGCCTAGCCCGAATCATCATTCCTTCTGCTGACAAACCGTCAGTGAACAGAATTGCGGGGAGGTGGACGGCCCTACCCCAAGGAAGATTCTCTTCAAAGAATTGGAAACCTCTACAGGTTTAGCTAATTCTTTTTCATAGAGATCTTCCTTGGGGTACATATATGCATAAACACAGACTCCCAAAGACCGAAGGCTAGGGAGGTAGGAATTGTGTTACCGTACAATAAAATAGCAATATCGTAAACAAACATGCTACGTACGCCAAAACACTCACCTGGTCACATGACCCACAACTTGGCGAGAGGCATGATGGGAGGTGACCCGTAAGGGAGGAATGTACGCAGATTCCAATACATAGTGTTAAATACATGAGAACACAGTAATGTTCAGTAGTGCCCACAAAGTGATACATAATCAAAAGAGCACCGAAAGGAAGAACCCATAACAATATAGTCAAATCCTACAGGGGATAAATTGTGTTGAGTAATAAAAGCCTTCAGTGGATAGTCGTTAAAAGCAATTCGAACACAGAACCAAACTAATGATCCGAGACTCACTCGGTCAGGGTGGCAGGACACTGTCCACTGCAAAGATCAGACCTACCGAACCGAGCACGCTTTCGCGAGTGCGTGTCGAGTTGGTATTGCCGAATAAAAGTACTCGGCTTGCTCCAAATAGTGTCAGACCAAATCTCTTCAATTGGCAGTGCCGCTGCGAAAGCTTTCGAAGCAGCCACTGCCCTAACCGAGTGAGCCTTCAACCCCTCATGGGGAGGCTTACCCTGAGCCTGATAAGCTGCACATATAACAGAAACAAGCCAGCGAGATATGGTCTGTTTACTGGCAGGAACCCCAGCCTTCCCGCCACCATAACAGCAGAACAGCTGGGTACCCGTACGGATACCCTGCGTTTGTTTGATATAGACCCATAAGGTCTTGCGGACATCCAATGGGTGAGTACGGGTAGGAGTGGTCCCCGATGTAGAAGGCTGGGTAAGAGTGGGAAAACAATAGGAGCTGTCACATGGAAAGCGTGATCGATCTTCAGACAGTAACTATCTGGGAGGCGAATACTGACACGGTCTGGATGGAAAACCGTCAGTGCCGGATCAGACGACATTACATGAATATCACCAGCCCGTCTACCGGATGATACCGCCACCAGAAAGGCTGTTTTCCACGTTAACAACTGAAGGGAAATAGCTGATAGATGTGAGAAAATGGAACCGGACAGCCAATCTAGGACGATTGACAAATCCCAAGGTGGGCTGGTTCGCCGGAGAGCAGATCGAGCCCGATCCACGCCAGCTAAAAAGCGCTGCACAAGAGGGTGAGGCCCCAGAAGAGCACCATTGACAGGGTGTGAAAGCTGGAAATAGTAGTGGAGTAGCCACCAATGGTCGAGGTCGCCAAACCCTCTTCCATACGAGACTGAAGGAACGAGGACGTACGTGGAGTATAGACCCGACATTTCCTCTCCCGGTGGAACACGCTCTATGGCGGACTTGGTCAGCAAAGCAGAATTCCCGCCTTGACCGGACAGAATGGCACGGGAGTTCGCCTTATGCTGGTAAACTCTGGCGGGCCTCGCTTCCATAGTGGTAAGTGGCCTACAGAAATGGTTGACAGCAACCCTGCAAAACAACCTGCAGGGATGGACCCGACGTAGGAACCTGCTAACCTACCCCGACTGCGAAAAGGCTGCTGTGAACCACTGTGTGCTGTGCCGACGCCAGCCAGCAGAGTCGGGTGTAGGCTGCGCCCCAGAGGAAGCAACGGGAGGGCGGGGGCGAGAAACCCGCGGTTGCTCCAGCAAGGCCTTAGAGTCCTTGAAGGAGGTTGCTGCAGCTGCAGCCTCCCGAATGACCTGCTGTGCCCCCGGAAACAACGTCGCGCCCAGCCCCCGAATACCGTGAAGTAGACAGCCACAGCCTGCGAATACCCATTACTGCGCACATAACCTGTGACGCCGCCGATCGTAGTGAATTGCGGGTCAGGTGTGCCTGTACCTCGGTAAACTGCCAGAGCAGAACCCTATTCGGCGAAACGTCGCCAGTGTGTGTATGCGGTTCCAGGAAGGATCTCTGAAGTGAGGACAGATACGCCCCATGGGTCACTACCCTGATCTGCTGACTTGAGTTACGGAAGACTTCCTCTTAGCTCTATGCTGCATGCAGAGGGGCCCCCGAGTGGGGAAACGGTGGAACCAGCTGACCCTGCTTAGCTGCGAGTGGAACCAGCTGACCCTGCTTAGCTGCGAGAGCAGCAAGCGAGGAAGCCGAGCCTCCCCAAGGGGTCACCGAGGTATATACGCATTCATCCACCGCCGGTATGTGGAAAAGTGCATCATCCCCTAACTGGTAGCACTTCATAAGCTCTGGTAAATCAAAGCAAAGCCTAGACCCAGCGAGCAAGGGGTCGACAACATCCTGCACTACTGATGGGAGAACACGGAGCCGAGTCTGGGTAGGCTGCCTAGGGGCAAACGCCTAACTAGGAAGGTGGAACTCAGCTGAATTCTGATGCTCTAGTGGGACTGCAGCCTGAGGGAGAAACTGCGCTATGTGCTAGTGAACCTCCCATAAGGCCAAAGAAAAACCAAAAGTTCCCTCAGATTCCTCTGCGTCCCTGATCTCCATGGCTCGGCCTCCGAACCCGAGCCAGAGTCGCGATCCCCTCCGGTCTCCACGCATGAAACAGAGTTCCGGTCCTGAGACTCCTGAGAGTCCACTGACAGAACAGTGGCTCCCATGCTCAAGGGTAGTGCTCGAGTGGTCGGAGGTACCGGTAACCCGGGAATACTCAACGGTCCACGAACCAAGACGGACAGAGGGACTGGGCGCGAACCATCCCTCGCCGTCGGAGCTGAGACAGCCGGACCCGAAGCCAGAGGCAAGGGATCAACGGTAGACTCAAGGGACTCAAGGCTACCCCACACAAGAACTCTCCACCACACCCCCAGAGTTAGCCAGGAACTCTTGGCGGAGCCCATCAACAAACTCATGGAGGAGCGACTTCATAAAGTCCATGTGCTGTTGGAAGAGAGAATTGATTAGCGACATATCAAAGGAAGGCTGTGTACTACCGGAAGGCTGATTGGTAACAGTAGAAACAGACACACGCTTATCCTGCACACATTTAGACCTATTTAGACCTATGTTTGGCCATTTGTGCCTTTGAGGGAGGGATTTCCGCCTCCCTGAGCTCCTTGAAAAAGAGAAAGTCGGCATCCCGACAAAAAGCATAAAATACAACATAAGTCAGATAAAACAAGACACAAACAACTGCAAAGTCAATAAAATGTTCTGGTCTATTCCTAAGAACGAATAAAGACAATATACATACAGTATTTGAAGTCTCAGACATGTTACAATCCAGTCAAATCAGCACATGTGAACACGGTCCGTGACAGCAGAAAGAATGATGATTCGGGCTAGGTGGGAAGGTAACTCCATGTGGTGGGTGGCCGTATAGTAAATAAAAAGGCTTTCTTATTTGTTGTACAATCTTTTATTAAAACATTGTAACAACTATCGCAGAAAATGCATATATGTACCCCAAGGAAGATCTCTATGAAAAAGAATATATATTTTCAGTGCAGCCAAATACTTCATATACAAACATTATTGTATTTTTGCTCCAGATATAGAGTTTTTGCCGCACCATGCCTTTAATAGTGTGTCAGTGAGTGTGTGTGGTTATACGTCACCTTTAGCCATATTCTTAACAATATCATGGTAGGGGACAACAGAAATGGCTTTCACATATTGTAACCATGTGGGTTTCAAAGCTGGGTCATTGGCATGTAAAGTGAATGCTTTAACCACTAGGCTATCTCACTGCCCTTGTAGTGTGTCAGTCAGACATGGAACCTACTTCAGGCTTGATTCTTTGACCCAGAGAGAGAGCGAGATAGAGTGTGTGTGTGAGTGTGTGTGAGAGTGAGTGAGTGAGTGAGTGAGTGAGTGAGTGAGTGAGTGAGTGAGTGAGTGAGTGAGTGAGAAAGAGAGAGTCAGTGAGTGAGAAAGAGAGAGTGAGTGAGTGAGTGTCAGTGAGCGAGAGAGAGTGAGTGAGTGAGAGAGTGAGTGAGTGAGAGAGTAAGTGAGAGAAAGAGAGAGTGAGTGAGTGAGTGAGAGAGAGAGAGAGTGAGAGAGAGAGAGAGAGAAAATGAGTGAGTGGGTGTGAGTGTGAGTGAGTGTGAGTGTGAGTGTGAGTGTGAGTGTGTGTTTGTTTGTTTGTTTTAAATATGTCCAAATGAGGTCACATAACAGTGTGTTGGTTTGACCATCATTCCAGTCCTATCAAGACCTGACAGCTTAATGTCAGATGAAAACCTAAGTTTACCACTTTGTTGAAAACACACAACCCACAACCATAGATTGCTGGCATGCCCAAGGGACACAACTCTGCTCAGCTAATTGTGGGGCCTTACACTTGGACACACATGTCCCCTGATGCATAAAAATCAAGTTTGCTTTTACAGATTTGTAACTTCAAAGAGAAATAAAACTAAAGATACAATCTTATCATGAAAGACAAAAAAAACCATTAACTGACATCCCATTATCAGGCTATTGTTAATATGGAATTAAATTACTCCACAATTGATTAAAATATTCATCTTACTAAGGTTCCATATATTCTGCATACATATTCCCAACAGTTTATGATCTAATTCAATGCAAAGCAAACAAAACAAAAATCAATCCACACAGTAATGAACATGATGAATGAATGAGAGGTGTGTGAAACACTGTTACCATGGTGACACACTGCTTTAGAAATACTGTTATATTTTGCCATCAGGTGCGATGGCAGATAGTGAAATGCAACACTCACCTTGTCCACTGCATTCACATTGGGGTCGTGTTCCAGAATAGCACGCACAACGTCCAGGAAGCCACCTTGAGTAGCTACAAGCAGTGGTGTCCATGAGTTCTGAATAAAGTATATTATATTGTACCATCATGTTGAAATTAAGAAATATACATTTTATATTATTAGGGAGTGAGTGAGTTTAGTTTTACGCCACACTCAGCAATATTCCAGCTATATGGCAGTGGTCTGTAATTAATCAAGTCTAGACCAGACAATCCAGTGATCAACAGCACGAGCATCGATCTGTGCAATTGGGAACCGATGACAATGGACATGTGTCAATCAAGTCAGCGAGCCTTACCACCCAATCCCGTTAGTAGACATTACTATGATTACCACAGGCATAAACAATAGTATTCTTTTACTTCATCTACTTAAATCCAGCAGGTACTGTTACCATGATGACATAATTACGATGTTTCTGGGAGTAAATAAAGAGAGGAATCAGTAGGTGTAAATTTGAAGTTATACTTTAGCATTACCAAGCATCAATAGTGTCTCTTAGATCAGTATGACATGGAATTGTTTTGCCTTTTTTTCAATAATGGCTTTAATTTGACACATATTTTCTTGTTAAATAGGCATTTTCGAAGGTAAACTGGTGACCATATTTAGTCATTAGAAAATGTACATTGATACAAAGTTCTGTTTGTTTTGTTTTGTTATCTGTGCTTACCATTCCTGATGAATCCACATTGGCACCTTCTGCTAGCAGACATTCTGTTATCTCAAGATATCCCTTCCTGGAAGCCCAGATGAGTGGCGTTGTTCCATACTGTGGCAAAATTACAGTAGGCATTAGCCTGACCTACATTCATTAAGAACTAGTGCTGTAAACGATGCATCCAACTATCGATGGACTGCAATTGTTGAGTTTCTGATAGCAATTAATCGATGGTAGAAACGAAAAACTATCAATGCATCGATAGCATGTGTGACTATCGATAGTTTAGTAATTGACTTTCATTGATAAATGCACAGGAAAATATTTTTATTAAGTATTTATGTTGTTTTGTATTTTTTATTGTTTGGGTGCAGACTTGCAGCTTCACTGAGTTTATGTTTTAACTGTTTTCTTGATCTGGCAGAGGTACAGATAAGCTGCGTATCTGTGTAAATTACACAAATATTTATGTGGAAACTCAATTCCTATTAAGTCTATTGCGTACAAGTACGCTTGAATTTTTGAAAATACTCAATAAATTTGATCTTACATGCGTACACACAAAAATGTCAAATCTTAGCTTGTGTACCGGTGGATAGATAAAATAACTGAGGTATACTGATAGCTTCTATTTCAGCACATGAACTTGGCAACTTGCAGTCTTTCTTATTGTTTCTCATTTTACAGATCAATATAAATAACAAATACGTAAACCAACATTTAAATTTTATTATATTTTTACAATTAATGGCAAAATACCCAATTGAGTTTGAGTAAGGTGGGTACAATTTGTTTGGTTACTCAAAGGAAAATTAGGATACCCAATTGAGATTACATAACTCAATGACCCAAAAAGTTATCTGTAGCTCTGATCTGGGTTTCAAGTTTCTTGTCAGTTATTAAAAGAGACTGAAACTATATTAGCTTCATTCTATTTCAAATAAACTATACATTCATTTGGGAAATGACTTCACATGAGACAATTCAAGGAGAACAAAACTATTGCAATAGTATTGCAATAGTTGGTCACAATAGACTATCGCAATAGTAGGTTGCAATAGACTATCGCTATCGCAATAGTTGTTTCCCCCTCAATTGTCACCCCTATTAAGAACTCACTTCATTAACTGTTGTGTTTATGGAGGTATAAACTTAAAAACCTGAGTCCACATTGTGTAACTACGAGCAGTGGACATACACAAAATGTCCACACCATTTTTGGTGTTCAAAACTCTAAAACAACTAAATGATATTGAAGTCAATTCTTACAAATGTTTCAAAAATACAACTTCAAACCATTACTTAATCACTAACAGAAAAACAAGTACATGACTTTGAAATGAAATCTTGGACACTTTTCAGCACAAACAACAATACACAGCAAGCCCTGTACATGTTGTTATCAGCCAATCAACAGAGAAGCAGCTGTCCCTTTGCATGCATGGCCTGGTTAATTTAATTTCTTGATAAGTCAATCAAATATCACAGAATCATATGCTTCATTTGCTTTTATCTTCACAGCTTAGTAAGAGCTTAGCATGAGCTTCTCTATTACGAGAGTGTGAATTACGAATTTGTCGCACTCTCTTAATAAAGAAGTTGTTATCCATAAAGTTTGTCAATTTTGTACTTCCCAGCTTCTAAAATGCCACTCAAAGAAGTTATGAGCTTCTCTCTTCTCCCAATCTTTTGTCTGACTTACAATCTATGTTCACCCCTGATGATCAAGGTAAAAACCATAATTGAATGATTTGTCCAAGATAACCTACATCTAGGTATTACAGTACCTTGTCAGTGGCATTGACCTTGGCACCACATTCTAGCAGTTTCTTGACGACCTCAGTATGACCTCTGCCGCTGGCCCAGGCCAGACATGTCATGTTGTGCTGCAACAAACACTCTCACGTAAAGAGTTCCGCCCATAACCCCCTGTTTTTTTATTTATCAATGCCTAAGAATAGATGAATCTTATAGAAAGCTTATTTAAACCCTGACCCTAAACCTAACCATAAACCTAACATAATGCTAAATCTAAACCCTAAACCTAAACCCTAACCCCCAGAAATAATCATAATAAATAGATTACATTTCAAGCGGGGGTTACAGGCGGAACTCTTACCTACACCTCAACTGACATAGTCTGGACATTGAATGTTTGGATTCAAGTGTCTCTTTTTGTTATTTTGGGCAGACTGTCACTGCTCTCTCCAAACCAAGTCTTGGCATACCTTTTGGAATTCAGTACGACAAACGTTTAAAAACATCTTACAATACAAATATACAGTGGATCATTCTGGCTTAAGGAAACTTTTATTGTTGTTCAATTTATGGATTTATTTGGATTTTTCCACTTAATAAAACAAAAAGTGAACCTGTTGATCATGTTGATCATGTTGATAACATTAGCAACACTCAGATGACACACAGTTAGCAGGATTACATACTGTAATCTTCTGTCGTCATCTACACTAACAAACATAGGGTACAACGGACCCATTTTCCCCTAGAATCCCACAAGGAAGGTAGTCGATATCATCAGTTGCCATGGAATATCAGTTTATTTGTTGTTTAACACCACTCCCAGCAATATCCCAGCTGTATGATGGTGGTTGTAAATAACAAAGACTGGACTACACAATCCAGTGATTGATATTATGAGCAACAGTCCAAGCTTCCAAGTTACAATAACATGCAATTAACTAAAAGACAAAGCCTGATCACCAATACATTTAATCACCCCTTACAATACATGTCAGTTGCTGAGATCAATTCTAACCGGGACGCTCCACTCGGCTATCCCATATAAGACTTACCTCTGCCTTCACATTAGCATTAGACCCCCTGTCTAGGAGTTCCTGTACCACCATGGAGTGTCCCTTGTAGCTGGCCCACATCAGGGCTGTCCACCCACACTGTAGTGAAAATAGCATGGTTAGTTATACCATGGGCATCGGGCTGTTATGGAATATATATTGCTGCAATGTACACACTAATCATGCTAAGAGCATCATTTTTCATCAAGTTCTATGCACCTGTGCAAACTCCACTAAGCATGTTACGAGCATCCTTTTTCATAATGTCTTAGGCAACTGTGCAAACTCACAATGTGTTAATTCAGATGTTGGTTAATAGCAGAATTTGTCATTATTAGTTTTAATATATATTTATAGATGTTTAATATGTTGAATTTTTCAAAACTGTCTCTACCATGGCATTTTAATTACATGCAATAACATGAGAGGTTAAATTGTTTTTAAAAATCTTAAACGAAAACAGAACCAAAGTAAAATATAAGTAACAATGTTCAAAATGTTTAATCTGATATGAAAGAGATACACCATTGTGGCACCATGAGATATCTTGAACACTGGATGTTTTGGTGTTTTTTTTACAATAATCAAAAGACACTAAAAATTGTTTAGAAAGGGTGAAAACAGACATAAAGATGGAGTGATGTGCTACAAGCAGGTACTGACCATGTCTCGGTGTTCTATGGAAGCCTTCTTCTCCAGGAGGACTATGACAATCTCCAGGTGGCCCTCCTTGGCAGAACACAGCAACGCACTCCAGTTATCCTGGGGAATTCACACATATACTGTCACTTCCTTAACATGGTAAACATATGCAGTCTACTGCATAGAATGTGGAGCAATATAGATTCCTTTTCTAGGTGACACATACCATGTAAAACACTTTAAAGAACACCCTAATTAAAAGACTGTGTGCAATGCCCACCAGCAGTTACGGATTAACTATCTTATTATAAATAGATAAGTAGTTCTTTAACTTCTTTCAAGTATAATATCATATATACTCACATTATCAACAGCATTAGGGTCTACTCCTGCATCCAGTAGTTCTCGCACAATGTGTAGTTCCCCCTTCTCACTAGCCAGCATCAGGTATGTCTGACCATTCTGGGAACAGGATCAAACAGAAATGTAGCGCAAACTCACTTCTCTTACGTTTTTGCAAACTTGTTAGTAAGAGCTGAAATATGTCAGAGCATCAGTTTCACTAAATGATGTTGATGTTTGTGTGCCTTGTTCAAGAAACTGATTTAAAAAGATCTAATCCCTACTGTTGATAAATATGAAGTTTATTTTTATAATATTATTCAAATAATACAACTACAACTTAAATAAAATTATTTTGAATGAAAATGCAAGCTTACATTTATAACGCCCAGATAAAAAACCAAACAAGCAAAAAACTAAGGCATTTTTTCCATTTGTGACATGTCATAACATGCCAGTGCCTTTTCTTTTATATTTTCACTTTTACGTAATCAGAAAATTATTATAAAAAGATTTCTTTAAATAATATGTATGGTTGCCTATTTCCCGATATCTGTGGCTTTCTCTCGGTAACATGACATAACAACGGAAAATACCTCCTTTTAAGCTTCAGATGAATAACATGGGAGGCTTAATCGTTTGATGCCGGGTATCGCTCTCAAAGCTCTGAACATCAACAACATCACTGAACCCCTTGCGAGAGTATTTTCACAGTTGTAAGAGCGATTTTATTGGATAAAATTGGTTTCCAATGATCTTTTCGCTACAGTCTTGCTATAAGGGTCGGATTGGTCAAAATCCACACGTGACCTAAGGCAGCCAATCATATTAATGGCAATGGATACCGCCCTTTCGTGAAACAAAAACTTTTCGATTTAGGACGAAAGTTTTGGGTAAAATAATACTATTCTGAACATATTAAGCAAGAAATCGCTACATATAATGTGAAATTATGGGACTTATTGGACGTATCGTGCTAGGTTATGACCTGTGACAAAAATGCTTCATGCATATATTTTCGCATCAAACATCGTGTCCGAGCGTGAAGATTGAGGCGGCGAGAGCAGAGATGTCACTTGTCAGTGATTTGACTTCCATTACATGATCGCACAAAAAGATGGAAAAAGTAATTTTATATGTATGTTTGACAACTTTTATGAATGCTGTTGTTGATTTTATTCATTAGTTTATTCTATTTATTTAATCATTTCCTCGAAACATCGTTACTTTGCTCTTTGAGAAATGTTATTGTAGACCCGCTCCCAAAGCATGTGTCCGAGAATCGTTGTTTTCAATTACATTGCGAAAAATAGTTTATAATTTTAATTCTGACGATAATATATGATCAATTGAAATTTAATAAGTGTTTCCAGACATTGTGAAATGTGATGGATTTAATATATGAATCATAAGTCAGGTAAGTTCCTAAAATTATGTCTCATTTTGACGTGACCACTGCCTGGCCGCTTAAGCGGCCTCCGGTGTCTGGGGACTCTTAACGTTGTGGCCGCTTAAGCGGCCTGCGGTGTTGAAAGGGTTAATTCAGATGTTGGTTAATAGCAGAATTTGTCATTATTAGTTTTAGTATATATTTATAGATGTTTAATATGTTGAAGTTTTCAAAACTGTCTCTACCATGGCATTTTAATTACATGCAATAACATGAGAGGTTAAATTGTTTTTAAAAATCTTAAATGAAAACAGAACCAAAGTAAAATATAAGTAACAAATTTGGAACAGTTTGGTGAATAATGTTCAAAATGTTTAATCTGATATGAAATAGATACACCATTGTCAAAAGACACTAAAAATTGTTTAGAAAGGATGAAAACAGACATAAAGATGGAGTGATGTGCTACAAGCAGGTACTGACCATGTCTCGGTGTTCTATGGAAGCCTTCTTCTCCAGAAGAACTATGACAATCTCCAGGTGCCCCTCTTTGGCAGCACACAGCAACGCACTCCAGTTGTCCTGGGGGATTCACACATATACTGTCACTTCCCTAACATGGTTTACATATGAAGTCTACTGCATAGAATGTGGAGCAATGTAGATTCCTTTTCTAGATGACACATACCATGTAAAACACTTTAAAGAACACCCTAATTAAAAGACTGTGTGCAATGCCCGCCAGCAGTTACGGATTAACTATATTATTATAAATAGATAAGTAGTTCTTTAACTTCTTTCAAGTATAATGTTATATATACTCACATTATCAACAGCATTAGGGTCTACTCCTGCATCCAGTAGTTCTCGCACAATGTGTAGTTCCCCCTTCTCACTAGCCAGCATCAGGTATGTCTGACCATTCTGGGAACAGGATCAAACAGAAATGTAGCGCAAACTCACTTCTCTTACGTTTTTGCAAACTTGTTAGTAAGAGCTGAAATATGTCAGAGCATCAGTTTCACTAAATGATGTTGATGTTTGTGGCCTTGTTCAAGAAAGTGATCTTAGCACAAAGATGATCATAACTCATACACTAAAAACTGGGCTTATGACAACAATCAACGGGCTAATATCTCTTTGATGAACGGGACCCTGGTGATACAGATATCCTCCATCATTCACTACAGGTTCACCAGGTGACACACGGTCCTGTGCATAGTACACAGACTAACATCATCACAATTAGAATGCACTTGAGTATAGTTTAAGAAATGGCCCCCTTTGTCAATTTTCTAAGGGCCTGAGACATGTATTACTATTAAAGCGAATATGGTAGCTGTAATGAAAGTAGGAATGCAATGTTCTCTGTGTGAAACATGCTGTGGACTATACCTCATCCCTCTCCTCCAGGTTGATGTTTCCACTCTCCAGCAGTCCGTGTACAGCAGACAGGTCCCCCTTCTCAATGTTGTCCCATAGCATCTGAGCCTTGAACTTGGCCATGGTGCACTCAGACTAGCCACTGTTACCACAGATGGATACTTTAACTAACAAATGGGCAGCAGTGGAGTCTGACTGAATCCTAAATGCCCTTTATCACACTGGTATTGTGGTAATATCCTTAATTTGTTATGATTGTCCAAGGTAGGAATATGTCAGCTGAGTCTGGAAGTAAGAGAAAAATAAGTTAGCTGCTTGTGAATGAGGACAGAATGATTGAGTGAATTTAGTTTTACGACGCTTTTAGCAATATTCCAGCATATATCATGGTGGGGGACACCAGAAATGGGCTTCACACATTTTACCCATGTGGGGAATTGAACCCAGGTCTTCGGCAAGATAAGCAAACGATTTAACCACTAGGCTACTCCAACCGCCCAAATGTGAAAAGTAGTGAGTTAAGTTTTATGCCACTTTAGCAATATTCCAGCAATATCACGGCGGGGACACCAGAAATGGGCTTCACACATTGTGCCCATGTGGAGAATCATACCCGAGTCTTTGCTGAGACAAGTGAACACTTTAACCACTAGGCTACCCCACTGGCCTGAATGTGAAAAGTAACCATAGGAACAAGTACATGATGAATATGATGACGATAACTGTTTAATTTCAGGAATGTCATGATTCATAATCATGACAACAGCAAATACCAAGTGAGTATTCCAACTATATGATGGCACCATTATTTCATGTCAGAATCATGCTATAACAAAAACCCTAATTATAACCTCTAACCTTAATGGTTAGTGAGTGAGTTGGGTGTTACATAGTTTTTAGCAATATTCAAGCTATATCACATCGGGAATAGACTTCATGCTGTACACACTATGTTGTCAACTGACACCAGACTTTCTACTCGTTGAGCCACTAGGCCATCCCACTGGCCAAGATAATCATTATTCATGGTTAACATAAACCATGTACCACACAAAAACTGTGGTCATGCAAACAATATTTGCAAAATGGCAACAACAACATTTTCAGTTGGAATTGTTTTTGCTATGAATTACAGGTAGATAAATATATAGAAACAGGCATCTAAATTATGTCCTACATCCTGCATTCAGGAGGGGTGGGGTAGCCTAGTGGTTAAAGCGTTTGCTCATCACGCCGAAGGCCCGGGTTCGATTCCCCACATGGGTACAATGTGTTAAGCCCATTTCTGGGGTCCCCTGTCTTGATATTGCTGGAATATTGCTAAAAGCAGCGTAAAACCAAACTCACTCACCCCTGCATACATGGGTGAATATTAGAAATATTACTACATTCATATAAAATCTACACTGAAAAAAACATCATAAATGTTTAGCTTAAATTCCAAATCCAAAAGATTACATTTCATTTCATGGTGGGATTCATCACCTTTTCGGCCATGCTGATTGACAATTCACTGGCTGATCTCAACAGTTTATACCAAGTGTCATGATGTACTGAAGTGTGTATAGTTAATAGAAGAATGGATTTAGATAATAGAATAGGATTAGATTAGCCATGATAGCATATTATCCATGATAACATGATACACTGAAACAACAATGGACTAGTACTGGTAGTATCACCAACAAAATAGGTTTAGACGTATTGTCCCAGGGTATTTCGTCAGGGTAAACAGTATAAACATTAGAGATAAAGTTAATCTTATTAGGTCAAACTACTACAAGTCTAGGGCATGTTGGAGGCCTGTGTAAACACAGTAAACATATGAGTGATAACAGACTTAATATTTGTAACGTCAGGTCACACATCTTCATTGCATGAGTATGAATGCCAGTATTTACTTCTGTGAAGTTCTCCACATGCTGAATCCAAACAGTCAAATTGTCACCTAGCAATGGGAAAATCCATGTTAAGGATGATGAACATGTTAAACTAAAGAGTTCATTACATTCTATGTGTCATCATGACCTTTGAGAGCTGTTCCTAAAACTACACAGGTACATTTACTTGACACACTTTGTGTCCACATCACCATGGTATAAGCACTGAGAGGTACAAAATGTCATACTTTGATTGACTATATGCAGAGATTTATTTGAACAAACTGATAAGGCCGATAATCGGCAACTATTTTTACAAAAGACAGAGCATGAATTTGAACTTGCATACTTAGGTTGTAGGAAACTGTTATTGAAATGAGTAAAACTTGGGAATGTTTGTCACAGACATTGTTTTGGAGGCAGCTACATGAGCACAATTGAAAATGAAGAGTTACATCCACTTACCAATGACTTATCTATCACACAGTATTCCTTCTTGGCATAATAATTGGTGAAACATATCACTTAAATAGTATTATTGTTATTAATATGTTTTCTGGAAATGTTAGGAAATGTACCACTTGGCATGGATATTTCAGTTTTGAAGTTTAACATAATTAATCCTAAAACAAGTACTAAGATAAGGGAACATATCATGATATCAAGTGTGGTCAAACAAAATAAGATAGAACAGTTTACAATATGATTATTATAAATAATTACGCAAGATTAGGTTTACAAATCCAAATTTTGGTGTGTGCCATGGCACTTTCAACGAATTCAAAATGCAAATGTCTAAACAATTGGGAATGCCACATTGATTATCTTTGCCACTGATCACAGTGTGTGCATGCCTGATGCATCATTAATTATCATCCTCATAAAGCAGCAGGTCAGGGGATGAATGATCAGCATCAGTAAAGTATCATCTAAAGAAAACTTGAGTTCCTTCAAATGACTGGTAACTTGTATGAAGCAATTTAGTAGGGATGTCACGATACATAAGTTTCATGAATCGATACGTATCACGATACCCATGTCACGATTCGATACGTATCACAATACCTATTTTTGCGGCATTACTGCATAAATTTAGTTACATTTTGAACATTAATATTTCATATTTTATAATTGTCCATGAAAAGATCAACATTTTTTCATTTATAACTTTCATAACATCAAAAACATGATACAATTGCAAAATGTAAACGATACATAAACATATTTAAACCGATACTTTCAAAACTAAACATCAATACAGTTTTGAATGTATTGATAATTGTATCATCTTAGAAAATGTATCAATGTATTGTGGCATCCTTACTGAATTTAGCATGTATAATGCTGCAAACTATTGGACTTGAATGTCTTTGTCCTTCAAATGTTATGCAATTAAAATAATTATAAACGATTTTTTGAGAATATCTTTGAAGATGTGTACAATACTGCAGCTCTACTGTCAACTGATCTAAACAAAGAAAAGTCAATGAAATTATTTGGCCAATTATTCTTTGACAGAAAACAAGTCCACTTCATCAAGCTTATCACATTTTCAGCATAATATTCTCCTCTGCATCAAATAATGTTTGATGTACTCATTTGGCATTGGTGAACAACTGAATCGCCTATAAATGGCCTAAATGGTGCGATGATTACTGCATATATCAGATAGTGACAGACATTATTACTGAGAGGATACGAGGATCAACAATCCCCTCATCTTATAACTTGCATTTATCATGATAAGTTTGAAAGTCATGCTGTCACATCCATACTTAGGAAAACAAAAACCACAACCATACAAAATATCAGAATAACAATTCGTCAAGAAAAACAGACATGTTCCACGGATCATAAAGTACACAATGATGAATCGTTACCATTTCTTCCAACGTTGTTTACCATCATCATCAGCGCTCAGCTGACATCTTCTCGTAATAGTGCGCGAGATTTAGCGAGAGGTTGTGAAGCCGGTGTAAAGGAAGGTTATACCCGTGAAATAAATTTCTGTTGTTTACTTCTATAATTACACGGTGCGGCAGTGAAATATATCGATCAATACTTTGTCGAGTATGTAGACTGTGAGATGGAAATGACCATACATATACCAGCGAAACGTAAATTTACGAATAGCTTGGTAAACTATTCACAAATATAACGGGTAACAAACCAAGTAATCACCGATGGCAGCGAGCAAGACCATTGACAAGCACTTGTTTACAGTTGTGTTCTTTTCGACCTTACTGTTGAATGCTTTTAGATTAAATAAATACGCACTGGAGCTGAGCTGACCTAGAAAGGTGTTTCATTGGCATGCAAAATGGATGACGAAGAATTGGAAAAGTATGATGATATTCAAAGTTTCATTATGCAAACCAGGTTTGATTTCAAGACTGAATTTCTGATCAGTGATGAGTGATTGTAAATCAATAATCATCATATTTTGTATTACCTGCTATGATCATAGTTTAGCTGTTTGTCTCAGTTGCAATACCGCATACCGCTGAAGTATATACATATGTGAGGTGCACTATTCGTTTTCCTTTTGGAGTGGTAGGTTTTTTTATGATTTTAATTTTATGTTGGCAGATTGCTTGGATTTATCTAAGTTTATACATGATACTGACGAAATTGATGTATGGTATATCAATATAACACCTGTATCCAGTATATGGTATATTTCATAAATCATTGAAGCTTCATATCAATCACATGAACATTTCAAATTCAATACCCTAGATCACTCTCACAGTTGTCAATGCACTCTAGCATGGAAACAAGAGAGCCAAGAATGGAATAAGGATGAATCTATTTGCATAAAACTTGTTTCAGTTCTGTTATCTCACAAACACATGTGAAAAAGGTCCTTAGCTAAATCTGCCCCCTAAATGTGATCTTGGCTTCGGTTTTATGACTCCAGAACTTCGATGCTAATGAGCCCAATCTGTCAGTGTGGTCAGTAGAGCTGACACCTCTTTCATGGAATATACACTGAGCAGATTAGAGTAAGTTCAGGGTTGATCGGCTATTGTTTGCATACAATGCTTCACAGTCCTGAAACAGGACTGTAAGCATGGTTAAGAATGGTGTTATTGTAATTTTTAAAAGAGTATTGCTGGGTGTGGGGCCGATTGCCAGACTAGGTTGATGCAGTTAGCTTGTACATGAAACTGAGAAAGACTATCTATTTACTCATGCTGAGTTACTTGTCAATGAATATGAAGAGAAAAATATATGAAATATTTATAATTATTATCATTAAAATTGTCATTTAGATGTTCCACAGGTTTTCATAAGCAATGATACAACCATGCAGGGGTGGAAATAACTTTAAAATTGCTAATGTACTCCGGTACAGTGGCACATGTAAAATCACTTGCCCTGATAATTTTTCCACTATACTGGCCGATTTCCTTGTTGATTTTTTAAATAAACAACATAATTAGCATTGGAAAGTCAACTGGACACCGGTACAGCGTGACATACAAATTTGCTTGCCCGACAGAAACAAACACTGGACTGGGGCGTCGGGCAATGGGTTATTTCCACCCCTGCCATGTTGAATTACATACCTTGGCCTGGTTCCACAAACATAGAGTCTGAAGGCCTGGATCTGAACAACTGTGACTCCCATACTTCAACACATATTTACTATAGTCATAGTGTAAAGGCATTTTTGTAAATGTTGTAGGAACCTTTTAGGGAACATTATGTACATTTTATATTGAAAACAGATTCACACACTAGTATTTAATGCCTACATTAAACAGCCAAATAAGGTAGAACCAGCATCCCCTTGCATTGATATTTTGTTGCACTGCGAGAAAGACAATAGTAAGTCATAGTGTTTCAATAATATTCTTGTGTGTAGATTTTGTGCTTTGGGCCTGTTATTTTTCAATCTATATTTCTTTCAATGTTGTTATAATTGGGTGGTAAATGAAACATTAAAGGTCCTGAAGGGTAGGCTTAGGATTAGATAACTTACAACAAACATACCACTGCATCTTCATGTTAATCCTGCCTGAGGCCAATTTTGGTGAGATGGTAACACTTAACCGTCATGCTTATACCTAATTATTTGTGACATTACAAGTAGCATTATTTAATTCTCCCTCAGGCTGGCCATGGAGGAAATCCTGAAGGAGACCAAGCGTGGCGCGGAACGAGCAAAAGAACATGGTGCTCTTGGATGGTGAGGCTATTCGTTAATCACCATTGTTGGAAAATACCTGTGATGATCCGGGTTAGAATTGATCTCCAGCAACCTTATGGTTGACGTAAGAGGCGACTAACGAGATCAGGTGGTCAGACTCACTTACTTGGTTGACACATGTCATCGGTTCCCAATTGCTCAGATCGATGCTCATGCTGTTGATCACTGGATTGTCTGGTCCAGACTCAATTATTTACAGACCGACGCCATATAGCTGGAATATTGCTGAGTGCGGCATAAAACTAGGATTGGGTGGTCAGACCAGTTGACTTGGTGGAAACATGTCATGGTATCGATGCTCATGATGTTGATCACTGGATTGTCTGGTCCAGACTTGATTATTTACAAATCACTGCCATAAAACTGGATTATTGCTGAGTGTGGCATTAAAATTAAATAACAAACAAATTGTTGGAAAGGGAAGAACCTGTGACCATATTAGTTCTATTTTGTCACAATTTAAGTCCAAAGAAAAGACCTTTTTTAAACTTCAAACTTTAGGATAACCCAAACAGTATTATTTCACTCTCTGAAAGCTCTGAAAGAGAAGTCTTTATACTTTGCAGGCAAAAGTGTCCGCTGCCTGCAACAAATAAAAGGTTCCTGAAAAATATGCTTGTTGGAACTCTTCGTAACCTTGATGACCGAAAGCGGAGACACAATGACTATGATCATGAATATGACAAACAGAGAGATCAATGGAAGGCAAGACGTAGAGATTCTGATTACGACTATGATCGTGAGGAAAGATCTGTGAGAAACCACAGAGACACTTCGGAATATCGCCGCAAGAAAAACCGACATCGCTCACATGGTGGCGAAACCAAAGAACACAAGAAGAATAAACATCATGGTAAACACAAGAAAGATGGAAGTAAAAAGGATAAACACAGAAGCAAGAAAAAGTCATCGAAAAAACATAAGAAAAAAGATGTAGATAAAGCAAAGTCTTGATTTGTAATATTTATGCATTCAGTTTTTAGTAGGATTTTTATCAATTTTGTTAACAAGCTATATTTTCTGTTTTATATTTGTGTTCCAACAATGTGTCAAACTGTAGATTCATTCAATTCAAATGAACGCTCATGTGTGTTGAAAACATGAAGAGATGGACCTACTTACGCCAGACGAGAAAGTACGGCTTATTAACATAATTATACGGACATTATTTTCTAACTGAAAAATCAAGTTTGAAAATATTACTGTGGCAATAACTGATTGCATACTCATTTAAGAAATGGCATAGATATATTTTGTTCATGAAAGGTTGAAGGATAAAATGGGGCTGTCACAGAAAATATGACCTTGACCAGGGGAAGGTCAGGACATATAGATGTTTGGTCAAAGTCATCATAAAATGGACACTTTATATTAAAGTGAGTCTTGAATCTAGTGCATCAAATACCTGTGACCAATCCACCTCTTTAGTTAATGTCAGTTAGGTCCGTTATTCATAGCTTTGAGTCCTCTCATTTGAATGCTAGTGAAAATCTAGAGGGATTTGTTGTTTTGTTCCAAAATTTATTTACTTTACTTTAACTGCTTATCCAAAATGAGCTCCAAACTAGTTGGACTTATTCAAAATTGTCTCCTGCATATGTGTAGGGTTTACTTACGGTGGTGTAGCCTAGTGGTTAAATTGTTCGCTCATCACGCCAAAGACTCGGGTTCAATTCCCCAAATGGGTACAACGTGTGAATCCCATTTCTGGTGTCCCCGCCTTGATATTGTTTGAATATTTCTAAAAGTGGAGTAAAACTAAACTCATTCGCTGTAGGACTTACTTTTTACCTGAGAGCAGTTTGCCCAATTTCTCGTGGCTTTTTTCAATTACCAGTATGCAATGTGAACAGGTGTCAGTGTCATCAATATGATCAATATTGACTGATAATGAAGTACTTAAGACAACTTAAGTGTTATGAGCACACATCTACATTGAGGCAACAGTTTCATATGAGATATAGAGATTATCAGCCTAGTGTGTTTCATTATCATTTTTAATGTCACATTTTAGGAATACGGATTGTATTTTCCTTAGGGCTGACTGTCAATCTACTTAATATCAATCATTTTTGATAACTAGAGACAAGAAGTAACTTTGAGAGAAAATGGCAAAAAGGTCCAAAAGAAATCAGGACATTTCACATCACCGGTGAATGGGGACATGCTTTATGCAGAGGTCACAAACAAAAGACAGCAATATGAACATAGTTTAGAAGCAACCCATGAATAAAAATGTGACTTTGTGTACTGTGTATGTATTTTAAAATACAATAGTGTACTTTAGATATTATCGATGATTTTCATATCAGTATTTGGTGATAGTTCTTCCCTTTGACAATATTTCTGATTAGCGGTCATTGAATAACAAGTCCCAGCTCGGTGACTTCATTTGCATATTTATTACATGATGGTACCAAGTCTCTGAGGCTGGTTTATTGCATCGATAATCCCGTCCTTTACACAGGAGAATATCTCTTTTTAAAAGAGACTAAACAAGCGCTAAGTGTTTGAGGATTTCAAGGCTGGAAGATACATAGAAAGTAGTTGTCGGTATGAAGTTTGAAAAGTTGATCATTTTCATTTTTTTTATCAAGTAGAGTATTCCTGCATTTGCCTTTATTTAACTTAAAGTCACTACTATGGTTTAATAATTATTGTTTTTCAATTATACATTGACATTGTTTTGTAGAAACTTTAGATTTTAGGATGAGAGATAATGAGAGATGGTTTTTGATTGGACAGAGCTGAAGATTGCCTTCAGCATGCATTGGGGTAGCCAAGTGGTGAAGACATTTGCTTGTCATCCGTAAAACTGAGGTTTCATTTCCCACTTGGGTACAATGCAAGCAACCCATTTCTGGTGTCGCCTGAGATAATATTGCCATAATATATCTAACAGTGGCATGAAACAATAAACACTCACTCACTCTGAGTGCAGTAGAGTGTTACTATGAAGGTCCACACACACTACAATGGAATCTTGTCCTTTTTGCCACAAGAGCCAAACTGATATCTTACAAATCCACCCATTAATTGAAAATCTAGTCACTAACCCATTATATAAAGTGTAATCCCAAATCTAACATTTGTTACATTTGAGGTGAGGTGAGGTGAAATTGGGTTTAACGTCGTGCTTGAGAATATTTCGCTCATATGACGACGTGCATGTGTATGTATGTGTATGTGCGGCTGCTTGTAATAGCCCAGACTGAAGCTGGTTTTATAGTGCTAGCTCACTGAGATACCATGCCGCAGTGAAGCATGAATACCCCACTCAGACACAGTATACTGACTCCGAGCCGACCAGTCCTTGTTGTACCCATTAATGCCGAGCGCCAGGCAGGGACCAACAAGTACCATATTTTAACGTCTTTTGGTATGCTGCTCTCCAGGCAGACGCTCTAACCACTACACCACGGAGGCGGTCTGTTACATTTGACCACTTTCTAAGTGGCATTGTGTGTTCATAGCTAGGCCATGGGAGCGTGCCAATTTACACTTATCAGAGGGGTACACAAAGTCTGTGGTCTGGACTACCAGTTGTCAGACTTCCGTTTTTGTGGAAGTTGCGGTGGCTGAGCGGGTTAGGTGGTTGACTTTTGTGTGTTGGTGGTTAGGTGCCTGACTCTGAGGGTATGGGTTCGAATCCTGGATGGGACTCAACCCAACAAAAGTACTAAAATCTGTACTTTACCGAGAAAGTGTAATCCCAAATATAACATTTGTTACATTTGACCACTTTCTAAATGGCATTGTGTATTCATAACCCATGACCCAGACCCATCATCTTAGTCTGTGTATATCAGCCACACTTTCATGAACCCACCTGACTTGGGTTTTGTCAACTGTCATTTACAAATCAATATTGAGATACTGATGGTGAACCGATCAAGGAATGGGACGTTTGAGGCATAATGGGAACTGATTGCACAACTTGGTCATCAACTGTTACATGATGGTAACTGACTTGCATTCACCTCCCACCTTTACAAATTTGCTTTTGACTGTAATTTCATAATATGGATGATATTTTTTTAAAAGGACATGCCTTTGTTGTGGAAGAAAACAGTTCATCATTCTACTTTTCCCTTAAGAGAAAAAATTGTATGTCTTGAAGTGCTTCTGTCTCAAACAAAACTCCCAGGCTCAGCCCGATAATTCCGTTGTTGGAAATCTTTATTAAGACGAGGCATGAGTGGCTCCATGGGTTAAGGCATTGCTGTTTGCTGTGGGGAGTTGTGTCCCTTGGACACACGAGAAGCCAACTGTGGGTTCTAGTCCCATCTTGATTATGTTTCCCAGCACCATACCCATGTTCATGGGTTTCACCAAAGTGGTGAATGTCTGAGACCTGCATAACTTCAGGCTTCCCTCCCACATCAAGTTGACACACTGCTGGCAAACAAGGATAAGTTTGACCATCACAGAGAACACGTTTACGAGAAGTAGGCAGTGCACGGCAGTGAGTAAACCCATTTGGTTTGTGAAAGGTAGAGCAGATGTAGGCTAATGCATGTGCATTGCATGACGATGAAATTGATTCTGCGCGTAGCTGCACACGCCTTGCTCATAAGACTCACGTCGGTGTAGCAAGTCGTACTACACTACCAGTGGGCAGCACTCATACATGCTAATACGGGTCAATTGTCAAGTCGGTTCTCAACTTAACCTTGTTTGCCAGTACATTATTACTGATGTCCGTCTTTATCATGTTTGTCAGGTTGAATGAAGGAGGAAGTTTGGACTTGCAGGCTTTAAGTGTTCACGTGTCTGCGATTAAGGAAGTGCATTTCTACTTCGCAAAAACATACTAATGGCATTCCATTTACAATAAGTAAAGCACAAAGAAAATACTCCCAACAATGCAGGCAACTCAGGGCTCATATTTGCAGAGTGGTGTCCCTTAGCTATGCTAGGATCAGGATCATGTGCTGGTCATGTGTTAAAAGTCTTGAATTTGCCTTGATTACTTTACTTAGTCTATCAGCAGGTGGTTTCTTGTGATATAACTGAAATAGTACTGTTTTTAAACTCATCTAGCTACTCACTCACTCTCTCACTCACTCACTCACTCACTTTCTCAGCACTTGTGGTGCTTAATACATTGACTAACATAACTGTGAAGCATATGTCATTGTCCCACCTTGCTCAATACATGACACATCATTTCAGACTCTTAAGTGTAGCAGTTCACTGTGCAGAGTTATTTCCCTTAGATGTTCAAGAACATGGGGTTTGGGGCTGTGACTTGTGCCACATTAAACTATACTACTCAAAAGATGTTAAGGACACCAGAACTTTTCATGAGCCATGACATAAATACCAGTGCTATGAAAATATTTGTTGAACTGTAACGTCTTTTGAGTAGTATATAACGTAAACTCTTTTAAAATCTGGAACAAGTTTTTAAATAAACAAATATGTATTGTGATGGTATTTCAGACAGGATAGTGTTTAAAATAGCTTTGTTCTGATCTGTGTAATCAGGAAGTAATAGGTTTGGCTTAACATGCAACAAATGTGTTTTGATAGTGTAAAACATTGTAAAACATTGTCTTGTCTAATAACAAGGTAATTTTGTTCAGCTATAGAGCCAAAGTCTAATGCCCAGTATGAACTCTGAATCTGAAATTTAAATTGTGTAATTTTCAAAACAAAATTCTGTGTACTGTCACAGTGGAAAATCCATCAAATTATGTAATGTTGTGTAATTGTAACGCATGATTCTGTCAATCGGAATATGAAGTTTGTTCTCACTTAGCATCCAATTGACACACCCCTGCCAAAGCTGGGTATGCAAAAGTAATCATGTGCAGTCTGATTTGTAAGCATTGCATCATATATTCATGTTACTTAGTGAGGAAAAAACTTTCGTCACATCTGATTTTTTTCAGCTGAGTCAGGAAAATCTGAGTCAAGTATAGATTCCATGGTGATTAGCTTACGGGGATTGCTCCATGTTGTAAGCAACACTCATTCAGTCAAGGGAGAACAGGATGTTGAGCCTAGTCCATGATAGCTGCCTTGTACTCTTCAGGTACATTGGTTGTTGCAAGGAACAGGGAATGAAGAATATGAAACTATGCAAGGTCTCACATTCATTTTCAGAGTTGGCTCCAGCACATATGATAACTCAAAATTTTAATTATTGAATTTAATTATATTGCAATATGTTATTCCCCTCACTTTGTGTTATAAATGCAAAATTTTAAAATTATGCTTATCATAATGCCTGTGATTAAAGGGAGGCAACTTTTGGTCACCAACCACATAAAATGACCAGTTACAATAATGTTCTAACACTTCCGCACAAAGGAAACTGAACGCACAATGGCTATGTAAATGGATCCTTAAATGCACAATGGCTTAATAGGCACACAGTGGTTATCAGCAGTGCTGAACATAAAATGGAGCTCTGATCTTTTTGGGAACAGATAATCCTCTGAGCAAAGCTTTGCTTAGTTTCAATTTCTTCCCTCAAAGTTTCTTTGTTGTTTAAATATTTAAAACTGTTATATTCCCTTTTGGGTATAGAGTACGGAGCGTTGAATGTTGTTGCTGGAGTTGTTGATGTTACCCTGGTTACCGTTCTTCATATTTCTCCTGTTACTACAGTTACCCGGTGATTGTACTACCGGTGATAGCGACACGCTGGGTTATAAAGTCTGCTATACTCATAGTCATCTTTAAAGGGATAATTGAATATTCATAAACAAATACATTTGTTAATGTCAATCTTTGAAGAGATTCATAATGAGTATATACATATATACTCTATATCCATCTGATAAAAGAAACGTGGATCTGAATGACATTATGTTCCGCGGATCTGCGGATTAGAACACTGGGGGCATTCTTGTGAATCGCCTAAACTTGCGGCCCCCAAGCCCCCGGCTCATTTTCCTCTTCTTTCACTCATACCCATTATCATCCCTGAAGAAATAATTGAGAATATATGCATATATTTACCAAAATGGCCCTCATGAGAGGATTAGTTAAGTATATGTTCATATATTATGATCCTTTATAAAGGGTTAATTAAGTATGTATGTATATTCATGACCCTCTTAAGATGGTTGATTGAGCAGACATATGCAAAACCGTCTTTATGGATATAGTTATTTATCCATATATATGGTTGTCTTCGGGTTTTATTGTTATATATGTCTTCGTAATTTTGTAGATTTGTTATACTCCTGGTGTTTAAAGGGACCCTCTCATAGTTCCCTAATCCTTGATGTATT